TGGAGGTTGTAGACTTCGAGCTGGTGCTGCTCACTGCGGTCGCTCGATCACAGATGTTTGTCCAACGTGTTGAGGTACGTGTACTCCATGGACGAGCAGCATGGCGCGTGGCCCTCCAAGTCGCCCCAGTAGTAGAATCGGTCTCGGTTTTCCGCGAGCTCACTCTTAACTCCCAGACAGTGGACGAAGATACACGGACGTGGCTTCGACTTGCCGGAGGACGAACCCCCCCCAACGAAAAATCAAACTCGGCTCTCAGTTTGCGGTTGTCACTAGCAGCGACCGGAGTTCCGGTAAGCAATGCTCTTCCGAGAGAGGTTACGGAGCTTGGAACAGCAGTGGCGATACATTTGGATCTAGTGTCGACACTTAGCCTTGATCTCTGTTCAAGTCTCAAGATAGTCAACGGAGATGTCCATGTCACGGCTGTGTAACTTGAAACCAGACGAACCGGACGAGCACAAGGCAAGTCTTACGTACAGTAGGAGCAAAAGTCCTATAATACGTAGGACCTCAAATCGGAGGGCGTTTTGCCAGAAAGGCACAATACTGCAAACTCTTGGTTCCAACTTGGCATCCCAAATACAATTTCTCTCTTCGCTCGATTTCTTGTGGCGGAAGTAGTGGTAGCAATGGCATACGTGGGAGGAGGCAGGCAAGTGATTGAGAAAAATATATGAGTTTGGATCGATTACTACGGCGTCCATTTAGAGGGTTGCGGCGCCAACAATGGCGACCATTTAGAGAATAAAGAGGTTTTTGATCAGTTATAGAACACCTATAGTGAAATCCATACAATCACTTGTGTCGAGCATTCGTAAGACAGTTTGACGACAAATCAAATGTAGCAATTTCATTGGTTAATATTGTATTATGTAGTCTCGAGTGTTGCTGCATCTCGGCTCGTAAATTGGACTGATTTATCTGTGTGCGCATTTTGCCCCCTTTACTAGAGGCAGCGCACTTGAAAAATGCCCCTTGAAATGTCCGGGCCTTTGATCCTGACGCCATGCACTAACCTCCTGCTAAAAGATTTAAATATACTTGCCAAGAATGGAATGTAAGGACATCATAGCACAGTTATCATGCGACCGTTTGTTCCCGTAGTGGAGCAATGATTCTTCGCTTTACTGGGGTGAGCGACTGTTGTCGTTCACCCCACCACGCCAACTCTCCTTTCTACAGTAAAGTACTAACACTACATAGAAGATGGAGATTCAGATAGAGCGCGCATACGCAAACCAGTCTACGCTGTAGCATCGACAAAAAGCATAGCTGCCGGCAGTGGCTTAGTTGCAGGAGATACCGAGTAACTCGCCGATGCCGAAGGTCGAGCCCAGCAGCAATATGGCGCGCGCTGAGCGCCCGCGCAGCAGTGTGGAGCTCCTCCGCACCTCAGCGTCGTAGGTATAAGATCTAGGTATTATCGCCGTTGCAGAGTACGTGGTTGCATTTTGTTGCTGGACTGTAATGATTAGGTAAGAGGGTGTTGGAGGGTCTCGGGAAGCCCATTGGCAACACCGTTACCTGGCTGCCACTACTATGATGTGCGCTCAAGCATAAAAATTACTACATTAAAATGTACATGTAGTACCGTTACGAGCTATTTGTCCCTCTTAGTTTACGTCTGCCAACTTCATCGTAGCTCCGTGCCCTACAACGGCTGCACCTCTTGAGTGGAACAGCTCCACGGACAGCATGCACGCGTTCGTGCAGTCATTATGCCGATATTAAAGCTTGCTGCCAGCGGCCAACTACAGGCACATCGCTTCGTGTGTGAACAAGAGGCTACTTACCCTACCGCACCATGCAACTGCATCGTTTCGGCGCTCAACGTTGCCACCGCGTCCGCGGCAACGCTGCCGCTGTGACCTGAACACTTTTGGCCAATTGTATGGCGCAAACTAGTGTCCGACAAACTGTCTTTTGTTTTGACAGACAATATGCAATGTAGCCACTGGTATACAAAAACCAAGATGTAGTCAAAACGCATTGATCGGAGAACGTAAGACGCTTTGTCTTATGATAGGCATTCTGGGGCTAAGTATCGTCTTACGAAAGAGCATGAATCCCGTTTGCAGTCGAGGAATCCTAACCAGATAGGGAACACATAGTAGATAGGGAACACATAGTCAGTTTAAGAGGGATGTCCAGATAAAAAAAGTGATAGCTTATTGGTTGGCTGACTTCTTCAGTCACAGTGAAAAAGTAAGCGAAAAAAGTCGGCGTTATGTTCTCTGGATTTTAATCCAGAGTTGTTGGGTGAATCCCGAAACCCCAACCAATTTTGAAATGATAGCACCATAATAGATTTATGTTTGCCTTAAACCGACGCAATCATTTCACGACAAAACTGATTCATGCTCTCTCGTAAGACGATACTGGTCCCTAGAGAGCATACCGTAAGACAAAGCGTCTTACGTTTTGCAATCAACGCATTTTGATTACATCTTGATTTTAGTATACCAGTGGCTACATTGTATTTTGTCACTCAAAACGTAAGACAGTTTGTCGGACACCAGTTTGCGCCATATTATTGGTCAAAAGCTCTACTTGACGTGCAGAGCTGCATGTGCATGCTCGGGCCCACTGAACCACGACAGCGGTGCGGATGCAGGCTGTGTTGGTGGCACCTTTGTTCGCCAAGACGACGCAGTTGCATGGCGCGTAGGTCCGTCGACAACAGGATGATATTCTGGCTGCAGCCACGGCGGCCGCGCCAGGCCTTGCGTGAAGCCTTAGCGCTAAGGCTGTTCTGATCTGTTGCTCTTAAAATGCCACGTCCAGAGCTTTTCAGTGCCTGGATGGTAACGAATAGTGTCACGAGGGAAATATTGTAGAAGTTTTCGTACTGTCAGGTTGCAATGTACGTATCATGATGCGGGCAAGCCTTCCTTCAATAACGTGGTCAGTTACGTAGCATAAGAGGCAGCGATTCTAGAGCGCTTATAACCGCGCCAGTCTATTGCTGTCTGTTAAGCTTGAATTTACGTAGTGTTTCCGTTTCGGCTTTGTTGACAAGTTTCTAGAGAGTGCTCGAGTGTACATTCTAGTCGTTTGCTATTCAATGTACGCTCAAGCACAATTCAGTTCTCCGTGTACCAACCGCGTCGTGTCCTCCGAAGGGCATCTCCCTACTTACGCCGACTACGCGGCTTCATGGAAGAGCTCCTCGGACCTCATAAAATATGTATAATACGCACTTTCATTTGAAGGACCTGGCATTTAGTAGGTCGCTAGTTAGGCCAAATAACTGTGATGCACTTCACATTACTACGAAATCGAAAACGAAACAAATACACGTTCATGCTGCCGATTCTGCTCGTCAGCACGGCTATCCGTTACTACGACGGTGACGCAGACGGCCCGGCCAAGGGCATACACGGACAACACCACGCATAATATTAGCCAATCACATGGCTAAATTTGATTTGTCGTCAAACTGTCTTACGAATGCTCGACACAAGTGAATGTTGCTTGTGCTTCAATACACATCGAACATAATGATGGCCATGAAACTCACTCACTCGAGCAACAACCATATGCTCCTGTAATATCACATACCAGAGTATTAAATACTAGAGGTATACTTACCAAAGGAAACGAAGCTACCGTATTCAGAAACCGTAGCAGGATCTTTGCTAAACTGTGGAAGCAAATAGCAGAACGTGATATAAGTGAGATGAATGCCTCATCAGCACACCAATACATACTTTGCTAGCTTGCCCTCATGTAAATATTTGAGCGGCAAGGACGCCGGAAACGCTGCAAGTAAGCTCGCCATCATGGGGCTTTCGCCCAATGACTAGTGTTGGAGGATCTCAATCGCGTTGCTCTGATGAGTTGTATTGTAAATGAACACGCTGCAGTGGAGCCTTCATTACAACCTGTACTATACAGGCCGACGCCCCCCACCCTTCCAATAGATTAAAAATAACCATGATCATGTTTTATATCATTGTGTTAAGCAAATCAGAGTCTCGCGTTAACCCTTTAAATATTAAGATCGACGAGTCGAAACTCAGCGGAACACCACGTCAACTCAATACCATGTTTAATGATACCTTGCTTGGCGTGCTCTCCGGTTTCCTATTGGTAGTGAGTGGTTTACACCTCAAACACCGCGTGATAATCAGTTTGCGCGGAAAGAGGATCACCTACGAGCAATCTAAACGATCGACAAGGCACAACCGGCGAAACTGGGTGGCTTCATTGAGCAAAGAGTCTTTGCCAAAGACGTCGATCAAGAAAGCCGCCACCTACTACAAACGCCAACTGTACGTGCGCTTGATAAAACCTACAATCCCTTTTACTTTATTAAATATATTGAAGACGAAGTTTAGTGAATAACACAAGTGGGGCAATACTGTATCTGTAAACGTTCATCAAAACATCACGACCCATATCAAGCGAGCGGCCCTGTCGACAGCCCAAGTATTGTGCTTTGCATCCAGTATGTAGTGCAATACTTAGTGTTCGCACTTAGCGGTAAATCATAGTGGCCTTGAATGCGAGTTGCTAAGTCGAGTCTCGAACCCGGTTTGGTTCGGAAATGACACTTTCTGAAATTGCCAAAAGGTGCTGGATGTGCTAAATCATGCAGGAGATGGCGTATGCGCACTACTTAGTGCTGATTGACCACCCACGGCTTCAGCAATTCGTACTCGAGTACGATTTAGCAATAAGTCGTGCTCGATAAGTCGTACAAGTTACAGTCCGAAGTACCAAAAGTCTGCAAAGCAATACATGTAAATAAAAAAATGAAAAAAGACTCGAAAATCCAGAGCTTCCCCGTGCAAAGCACGGCTTTGTCCAAGCCTGGTAAAAGTCATCCAACCGACTTTTTCGCTGTAACCTACGGAATATCATACTGCAACATTCTTTTAGAGAGGTTGTTTCCTTGAAAGCTCCGAGTGCGGGTATTTCCTGTTGCCTACCGACTGCGGTGGCGGCCACTACAGCTCGCAGTAGAAGCCGAAGGCGACGCGCACAGCCTCATTATGCCAACCCGGAAGGCTCAAGCAACTAGATCAGGCCTAGTCGGGACGACAAAGCCACCAGCGTCAGCAGGACTACCGGCCTACAACACCGAGTACCAAGAAGAAGGAAACTCGCAAAACAGAGAGTCTTCTGATAATTCACCGTCAAGCTCTGGGACGTCTGGGCTTCGTGAGCCCCCCTTGAAGAGAACGAGAGTCTCACGTCACACACCATCTCCGCAGGAAGAAACCGTACTTGGTGCGATTGCCGTCCCAGCTACGGGCCAAGTTGGCCAAAGCAACTGGGGGCAGAGCCGCCAAGAAGAAGGCCAACAGTCGGCGTAACCAGTCCGACCCGAAAAACTCCACTCGCAAGACCACCAAGGTGAAGACGAAGCCGACGTCGGGTAACACAGTGGACGCAGATGGCGCCGCCACCACATAGCCCAATGCAAAGAAACAAAGATCAAAGAAGTCTACGGCGTCAAAGGCGAAGGTGAAGTCTACGGCGTCAACGGCGAAGGTGAAGGAAGTGCAGAGCATGCAGTGGACAATCCAGCTGACGGCTTTGGCAATTGAAGCGCGTTTCAAGAACAAGCTGATTCTGTCAAAGTTCGCTGAGCAGCTACAACATCTTGTCGGGGAGCACCGTGCCGGCTTTCACCGTCAAGCTCGTGGGCTGCAGCAACGTCCTGCTCGTGTGCGGCATGCCCACGCTCGACGCCTGTAGCAGCAGGAACGTTCCCCTGCAAAGCTTCAGGCAACCGCGCAAACCCAACTCCGCTAGCACTGACCTGTTGGGAGGCAACATACCGCTATTGTGGGCTGTAAGCAACACCGTCTTTAGCCAGAAGTGCGTCTTCTACCTCCACTGCGGCAGTCGTGGCCGCCAGCGTGACGTCTGTCACTCCTGAGCTGACGCTGTCGACGTCCATGACGTCAGGTTCATCGTCGCTCTGCTACGCGCCATTGTGGTGCTGCTCGATACTGCTTTTTCAAAGAAAAAAGTCAGATCTCCCGGGAAAAACAGGTCCCAGACCTACTTCTTTTCAAATGACTTTTAAGTTGGCAAATCTGGCACCTGCTTTTTTATCTTTCGTTTTTTAAAATAAGTCGGCCACCAAAAGTAAGTGTTTTCGATTTGGACATCCCTCTTACTGTTGCGAAAGGGTAAGTGTTCCTGCTCCGGCCATGGAGGCAGTGCAATCACTTTAAGACCTCGAGATCGCCCTTTGATGTACCAGACCGCCATCGCACTGCACAAAGCTATAAGCTTTTCCGGTTCCGATCCACTAACAGACTGCGTGATGTCTCCTTTGCAAGGTAAACCCAGGAATTCTACAAGAGGGCAGTTCTTGGAGGCAGCCTCCAGTATATTCTCGAAATGTCGGCTCGATAGCGGCACACTGGCGAGATTCAGACGCTTTAGTTTAGGCATATACCCGAAGATCGTGGCCCAGTCGATCTCCAACTGCTCCAACTTCCCCGGTCCTGGGACTGCCACAGAAATGTTGTCGACAGGTCCCAGATTTACTCGGAGCGCACGCACAGGCGCACCTTTGGCAGCCACAACTTGGATTTCAGCTGCAGCTTGGGCGGGGGTTGCAGAATCTTGAAGAGAGAACGCCATCGTTTCAGCTAGTAACTTTTTGACATAATCCCGGATCAATGCCGATAAAGACTTGGCAACCAACGCAACTTTCTTCAAGTCGTCGAGCGGCGGCTTGTACCCGCGCATCTCCAATTCCTGGCTGAACCCCGAGATGACGAACTCCAGTATATATGCTAGCAGCAGGCTTGACGGCATTTTGGCAAATGTTGAGCATTTAGCGAAAGAGAATTCTGCGTAGCGATTGATTGACCTGCAATTTGTAGCCATGTATAAGTTGAAGGCACTGAAGTGAGGGTTTCGATTCTGTGCACCTAAGTCGTCACAATTGAATCAAAACATGATGGAGGCGGGGCGGCGCAGCACGGGCATGTCGGCCACGAACCTGCACGTGCTGGACCGGCCGCTGAGCCGCGGCAAGGGCGAGGTGAGCCTCAGCGCCTTCTCCTTCCTCTTCTCCGAGATGGTGCAGTACTTCCAGGGCCGCGTGCAGAACATCTCGGACCTGGAGAACCGGTACGCAGCTTCATCTCCCTCTCATTACCACTGCACTCCCCTCACTCGATCTCCTATATACTCGCAGCCTGGACGGCGCCGGCTTCGGCGTGGGCGTGCGCGTGGTGGAGCTGCTGTGCCACCGCGAGAAGTCCGGGCGGCGCGAGACGCGGCTGCTGGCCATGCTGCAGTTCATCGTGTCCACGTGCTGGAAGGCGCTGTTCGGCAAGGCGGCGGACGCGCTGGAGCGCAGCACGGAGAACGAGGACGAGTACATGATCCACGAGCTCGAGCCGCTCACCAACAAGTTCGTGTCGGTGCCGCCCGACCTCGGCCAGCTGGACTGCGCCGCGTACATCGCCGGCATCGTGCGCGGCATCCTGTGCAGCAGCGGCTTCCTGGCCGAGGTCACGGCGCACACGGTGGAGGTGCCCGGCGGGCAGAGGGACAAGACCGTCTTCCTCGTCAAGTTCGACGAGAGCGTCATCCGCCGCGAGCGCGTGCTCACATAGGCAGGCAGGCAGGCAACAGTAGAGCTGGGTGGAGTCGAGTCGAGATGTTAAATAGACCACGCAGGGTCTTACTTACGAGTGAGTGAGTTACTGAGGGAGGTGTCTAGTGGGACATGCGGATGTCGTCCATGGCGCTGGCGGCGCTGGGCGGCGGCGGCTGCCCCCACGTGGCATAGTCGGCGCGCTCGCTGGCCTTGTACTCGTCCACGAGGTTCTGCACCACCTCGCGCGCGCTGTCGAACTCGTCCAGGTTCTCGGCGAACATGGGTTCTTTGCGGTAGTTCTCGATGAAGGCGCCGTGCTTCTTGAGCCGGTCGTACTGCAGCAGCAGCTTGTGGAACAGCGCGCCGATGCTCGTGTGGTTGGCCAGCATCAACCCGTTCACCTTGTGCGCCGTCTCGACGTACGGCGACTTGCGCGAGAGCGCCACTTGGATGGACGCGGGTCCCCACGGGATGAAGCGCGCGAGCTTGCGCTCGCGGATGCGCTGCAGCGACTTGTGCACTTGGGTCGGGTCCACGTCGCCTTGGATGATGTTGAGGATCGAGATGTAGCAGCCCGTCTTGGTGGACGTGCTGACCATGATGTTCTTGGGCTGCAGCAGACGCCGCATGACGTCCAGCACCGTGGTCTTGCGCACCGCCGACACCTGCGCGTCGATGGTCAGCGGCGTGTAGCCCGTCATCAAGAAGTGGCAGCGCGGGGTCGGAATCAGGGACGCCACGAGGCCGATCAGGTCGTTGTTCATGTATCCAGGGTACCTCAGCGTCGTGGTGCTAGCCGCCATGACTGTAGACACTAGAGAATTCAACTGCGAGACCGTGGGGTTCTCGACACGCAGGCGCTCGACGGCAATCCGGTTCAGCGCCGTGTTGTCCAGCACCACGACCGAGTCGGCGTTGAGCACGAGTCGCTTCATCGTCAGCAGCGAGTTGTAGGGCTGCACCACCACGTCGCTCTGGAAGTCCGACTGGTTGGGGAAGACCGAGTACGTCTGGATGAGCTTCTTGGGGAAGTGGTCGTTGAGGTTCTCGAGCAGGTACGAGCCCATGCCCGAGCCCGTGCCGCCGGCAATGGAGTGGCACAGCACGAAGCCCTCGAGGCTGTCGGAGCCGTCGGCCTCGCGGTCGATCATCTCCATGAGCTGGTCGTGGTGGCTCTCGCCCTGGTGGTACCCGGACGCCCAGTTGTTGCCGGCGCCGCCTCCTTCCTTGGACACGAAGAAGTTCTCCGGGTTGTATAAGTTCCTGAAGGTGGAGGTGCTGATGCTGTTGATGACGCGCGGCTCCAGGTCCATGAGCAGCGCGCGCGGGATGTAGTGCTCGTCGTCCGCCTGGTAGAAGAAGACGTCCTTGCGGTCGTGGCCCGACGTGGCGAAGTCCTGCACGATGCCGTCCGCCGAGATGCCGTGCTCCGCGCACAGCTGCTTCCAGAACTCCATGCCGATCTGGTTGCCGCACTGGCCCGCCTGCAGCGTGATGATCTCGCGCGGCATGGCTTCGAGGACGGGCGGAGGGGGTCGGTGGATACTGCGTGCTGGAAGTTGAAAGGCGGCAACGAAGTGGTCTGTGGCGGGACGTGTATGCGAGGTGTAGATGTATGGTGTGGACCACGTGGACAGTGGTGTTAGTCATTCTGGTGGTGCGCCAATTGCTGCTATCATTGCAAGACCAAGGAGGGCGATATTGTTGTTGCTGCTACTGCTGCTCGCAATGCTCTGTGTAGACCATGCTGCTTTGGCTCGTGAGATGCTGACTCGGCTGCAGGGATGGAGTCAGTTCATGGTTGTTTTGCCGAGGCAAATCGCGTTGATGGAGATGGTATCCGATAGCTATGCGACGCCTTTGCGGAAGTCAATGGAAATGGCCAGCTTTGGCGTCTGCCCAACGCCACAACAACCGCCAATACTCTCGTAAAGCGAGTCAACTGAACTTGCATTACTCCCCAAGTACATACTGTACACTCCCGTGGCGAATGCGCGCGTGGGCGGCGCGTGCTGCGAGTGGCTACAGCGGCCTGTGTCCACTGGCCTTTTTCGGTTCGTGTTGTACTCGGACAGTTTTATCTTGCGTTTCGTATAATCCCCTGTCAAAGCTGATACACACGATCGCTGCCGAAGTCGGAGGCGTCCGACCTCAGTCTCCATTCCGCGATCCAAGCCAAAACAAGCACCACCAGCATGGCCGCCGCCGCCCGCTCCGCCGCCAAGAGGGCGCCCACCGCCATCGCCATGTTCAACATGGGCGGCCCCAGCACGCTGCCGGAGGTGCAGAGCTTCCTCACGAACCTCTTCACGGACCCGGAGCTGATCCCCATGGGCCCCGTGCAGAACTACGTCGGCCCGTACGTGGCCAAGCGCCGCACGCCGCAGATCGTGGACCAGTACGCGCAGATCGGCGGCGGCTCGCCCATCCTCAAGTGGACCAACATCCAGGGCGAGAACATGTGCAAAATCCTCGACGAGATCCGCCCAGAGGTGCGAAGCGGGCTGCGATGGCCCAGCAGCTACGTTAAGGATTGATGCTAATGTTGCACTTGTGTTATTGTTGCTGCTGTGTTGCAGAGCGCGCCGCACAAGCACTACGTGTTCTTCCGCTACGCCAACCCGCTGACGGAGCAGTCGCTCAAGCAGATGAAGGAGGACGGCGTCACGCGCGCCGTGGCCTTCTCGCAGTACCCGCAGTGGTCGTGCACGACCTCGGGCTCGAGCATGAACCACCTGTGGCGCGAGCTGGACCGCCTGGACATGAAGGAGGACTTCCAGTGGTCGCTCATTGACCGCTGGAACACGCACCCGGGCTACATCTCGGCCGTGGCCAACCGCGTCAAGATGGGGCTCGAGCAGTACGCGCCCGAGGACAGGGACAAGGTCATCATCATGTTCTCGGCCCACTCGGTGCCCATGAAGACGGTTTACAAGGGCGACTCATACGTGAACGAGATCGCGGCCACGGCCGAGCGCGTGATGAAGCAGCTCGCGGGCAAGAACATGCACATTCTGAGCTGGCAGTCCAAGGTCGGCTACTTGCCGTGGATGGGGCCCAGCACCAGCGACGTGATCAAGCGCTACGGACAGCAGGGACACAAGTGCGTTGCTTTCTGTGCATGAATTATTATCTATGTGGAGCTGACTTTTGTATCTTTTGCTTGTCCTCAGGCACGTGATGGCTGTGCCCATTGCTTTCACGTCGGACCACATTGAGACGCTGTACGAGATCGACATCGAGTACGGCGAGGAGGCCCAGGCCGCTGGCATCACGGTACGCTCGGTCTGCTGATCTGAGATCGGAAGACTATTTTCTAACAGTTCATGCTCGCTAATGCCTTCAACCAGAACTTCAAGCGCTGCCCGTCGCTGAACGACGAGCCGCTGCTGTTCAAGGCGCAGGCTGAGCTCGTGAAGCAGCACTTGGACACGGAGGAGCTGCACTCGCCCGCATACCCGCTCAACTGCGCTGGCTGCACCAACCCCATGTGCCGCACCATCGTGAACCCTATCAAGCCCTACAAGAAGCTGCTGTAACTCGGTGGCAACGCTACCGCCGTAGACTTTTTGCCTACCAGTTAACCAGCATCTCTCGCAATGCAATTGTGTCATATCATAGACAATCTGAACTCCTTGATTCGTGTCCATCAGTTTCCATTCATTCGGACTTTTGCACCAAAACCAGAATTTCTTCAACCTGCAATGCTGTCGTCACGCGAGCGTCTCCAAGAACGGCAGGGCCAGTACGCCGCCCCGCGCCACGAATACCTGCAGCAGTTGGTGGACGAGTTCCAGCGCTCGCCCGACATCCTCCGCAAGGAGGAAGTCGTGGCCAACCTGGCCAACTTCGCCTACGACCCCATTAACTACAGCTCGCTAGCCCGGCTGCGCATCATGGACCTCTTCCTCGACATCCTAGACGCCGACCAAGAAGACAACAGCCTTACCAACAACAACAGCAACGAGGATGAAGCCAAGCAGCAAGGACCTGCAACTACTGCTTCCACTCGAGCTTCACGGAAGCAAAAGCTGGTGGAATTTGCTCTAGGAGGCATCTGCAACTGCATCCCAGACCCCATACTGCAGCAGCAGTTCATCGACGGAGAGGGCGTCGACATTATGGCTCCCTACATCCTCGAAGCGCAGCTCGACAGCCAGCCAGCAGCTTCGGAGCTCAACGTGGCGGTCTCCGCATTGACCGCCGCGTATTTCCTCCTGGACTCAAGTGCGTTCGCAGATATCACTGCTCAGAGGTTCGTGGCCAAGATGCAGTCCTTACAGCAGCACTCTATCGCCCAGGTCGCCAACACGGCTGCTGCATTCCTCTCACGCTACCAGGAGGTCCTCAAGACTGCATAACTGACGCTATGGTGTCGTACTTAATCGAGTTCAATACATTCCCCAAGTGAATCTTTCGGCTCATAACGGAAAACGCGTCATATCGACCGAAGATGCTGGACGAGGACGCGCTGCAGACGCTGCTGGAGATGTTCAAGTACCTTTTGCTGGGCACGAACGTCTTCCTGTTCCTCACAGCGGCCACGGTCTTCTTCACGGCCTCAGCCTCAGAGACTCCCGCGTCCTCGTCGGGCCCCGCGCAGCTCAAGCGGGCGCTCATTGTGACCGCCCACCCGGACGACGAGAGCATGTTCTTCCTGCCGTTGGTGCACTCGCTGCAGCAGCCTCAAGAGAGCAGCAACGACAAGTGGATCACGCACTTGCTGTGTCTCTCCCGCGGCAACTTCGACGGCTTGGGGGATATTCGAGTGAAGGAGCTCCTGGCGTGCGCCACGTACATCGGCCTGTCGACGGATCATGTCAAAGTACTCGAAGACCCGCAGCTCCAGGACGGTATGAAGAACCAGTGGGATGTGGCGCATATTGCCGCAGTTGTCACGGAGTATATGGAGAAACACAACATCGACGCGGTGAGTAATTAATTCCGTGAAGTTTTCGGATACTTTTCGAGTATTGATGTGACTTTTGTTTTTGCTGTAGGTCTTCACGTTCGATGACTATGGCGTGTCGGGCCATGCGAACCACATTGCCACGCATTATGGAGTGAAGCAAGCGGTCCGTGAGCAGCAGGAGAAGTGCTCTGCAGTTGCTAATGGAGAGGATAACGTTGACTCGAAGATTGAGAAGACGAAGGTGGTTCGTGGGTGGGCGTTGGAGAGTACCAACATCTTGAGAAAGTACGTCGGACTGCTGGATGCGGCGCTGTCGTACTGGCTGGCGCGCCGGAAGGAGGACGAGAAGGAAGAGGAGCGCCAATTCGTGTTTGTCTGCAAACCGAGGTGGAACTACAACGCGATGGCGCTGCACCGGAGTCAGTTTGTGTGGTACCGCCGCCTCTTTGTGGCTTTCTCGCGCTACACTTTCATCAACACCTTCCGCTCGCTGTTGACAGTTGGCAAGGCTGATCTTCCGGCAGAGCAGAAGAAGACGCAGTAACATGATGAAGGGCTGATGAAAAAAGACCATAAAATTCAAGGTCAACTTTTACTTGGGAGATAAAGTTTTTGTGTGTGGACTCGGAATAAATGTTTTGTCGCTGGCCGTTGGGGGATATACACGTACGTCTGGGCGGCCGGGAGAATGATGGACGTCAATTCGTTAATGAACATCTTCCAGTATAATTTCAAAGTAAATAATACCCTAATTGTAAAAAGAAGATGCCGAAAATGAAAAACTGGGTTTCATCATACTTTCTTTTTATGTCCGCGCTGCTCTAACCTGCTACTCGTCATTTGTGGACGCGCAGCCACCACCGCAAGGCGGAGTCGCCTCAAAAATGCTGCTGGCAAACCGACAAGTTGATCGGATGATGCTGCATGAAACCAGCGTACCACGCACACAACACCCGACGGCGGGTATCCAGCCCAGCCGCTGCTGAGTATTCCAAAGTCAACCCCACACAAACTTCCGCACACTTGGCTAGCAGCTTGAAGCGATCGTCGGTTGAAGTATCATCGCCACTCGATTCTTCCTTTACGATATTGTACAGCCAGTCGATGACTTTCTCCACAAACAACTCGGTTCGAGACCTGGGGTTCTGCGTATCACTCGCCTTCGATGCCACAGCCAGCGCAATGTGGCTCACTACCGAAATGATCCCACCCTTGGTCTCCAAAGATCCACGACTAAACAGCTCTTGACACCGTTCGATACTGAAGATCTGCGTGACGACGTCAAGACCGAACACTACTGTGCATATCTCCAGACTCTTGGCCAGCTCGTAGTACTCCGCTGCTGTGACAGTAGCCGAGAGTTTATCGTACAGTGTCTGCACCCATGATCTTGAGAAGCTAGGGTCTGCTCCGTCAGCTCCGGCATCTGGATGGCATCAGCGATGCGATGCAGCATCGTGTGACTCGACTGGTGCAGTAACAGCTCTTGCCTTTCAGCAGCCACGCAAGAGATAGCAGTCAGAGCTTGTAGTAGGGTTTCCTTCAGCATATCTTGGCGCTCGACGCAATGCTGGTCGAAACTACGCTCCAGTATGGCTGGGTAAGTCTCCACCATAATCGCAGCGAAGTAGAGCCCCCTGATGTTCGGGTTGTCCCTAAGAAGATCGAAGAGAAGCACCCGAGATCGACCGAGCTGTCTGGTTGACTGACAAAGGTGCGTGTGTAGCGCGCAGATATGCGCCAAGAACACCTTGTCTTGACTGACGGACACCTGCCGCGCCGAAATTTGTAGTTGAATCTTGCTGGATGTCATGGCGTCACCGATATTCGTTCGCTCCTCCACCAAGAAATCTCGTAAATGCTCTAAGCACTCCTCCACCGTTGACAGACACATCGATCCCGAGGCTGCGTCGCCGATACGCACTAATTTTAACAGCAGCTCATTACAGAGCCAGCTAAGGCCCAGCCTTCGGTCTTGCATCAAACGTCGAGATTGAAGGGCCCGGAAAATCCCTAGCACTCCACGCAGCACGGTCATTGGTGTGACTCCCAGCTCACGGTACGAATCTGCAAGAACGTGGCGCAGTGTTCTCTGCAAATAATAATAAAAACTTAGGCTAGAACTTCGTGTCATACACAAACACACAGACAACGTTCAGTGCAGCTTATCACGTGAGCAAGGTTTGCATCGACAAACTTGGAGCTCTGGTTGACCAGTAGAGCGATGGTGCGCCTCGAGTAGTCTTTATCGGCCTCTTCCCCCTTGGTCAGGGCGATGGATTTCGTGAACCCTGCGAGAAATTTCTTGATCTGCACCTCTTCCTTGGATTCAGGTCGAGCTGCAGGCTTAGTCTCCGTCTTCTTGGCTTCTGTAGTTGCATTTGTAGGCGGATTTGCTGTCCGCCCTTGTGCTGCGTCCACGACTGGTACAGAGGCCCCTCCTCCAACCTTTATCTTCTTCTTGGCGATGGTTTGAGTTCTGCTATATAGGTTTGCTTCTTCTGCTTTCCGGGTCTTTCCAACGATATCGCCTTTCGTCGGGGCAGAAGGCTGCGCGTGAGGTGGAGTCTTGCTACCATGAGAGTCATCTTGCTCAGAGCGTTTGGTAGGCTCTACCATCAAGTTCGACGCAGCATCATGCGAGACAACCGCCGAAGTCGCCCCTGGATCAGTAGATCTACCTTCAGTTCTTTTGCCTTGCTCGGTGGATTCAGCAAGCTCCATCATCGAGCTCACAGCAGGATTGGGAGATACAACCGCCGAAGTTGCGTTTGACTGAGTAGAATCTGCTGCTGCGTCTGTTAGTTCATCCAAGTTGATCCGTGGAGACACAACTGCTGCCTGCTTCGATGGTGATATGCTTGAAGAGTCCGCAATAGATGACGAAGGTTCGATGTCCATAGCTCCGATTGTTTCAGCAGCATTGACGACGTCTTCACCCGCAGCCTTGTTCGCGTTGACAGCGTCTGGGCTACGGGCTTGGACTGGTGTCTGCTGAGACGCAGCATGAACGCTGGGCTTTTCCTCTGACTGGCTAATTGTTTCTGTTGTACCATTCAGCTTCAGAGGCTCGGGGGCCTTTGGCTGGGGATCGACTTCCACTATTGGAGAGTATATCTCTTCTGTGAACGCAGCAACCACTGGCGTTGCTGTGAAGCTGCTGATTTTCAATGTTGCGCTCTTGTCGATGGCAACTCCACCGCGTGCTAAACTCACCTCCTTCTTGTCCACAGTACCAATCATTGGATCATCCGCGTCTTCATCCGAGTCGCTGTCGCTGCTATCGCTTGAATCACTGCCACTGCTGGAGCTGCTGGAGCTGGAACCTGCATCCTCCTTCTTTCCATCAGTCATCTTCCTCCCCTACTGCTCTGACACAGAGTCGGAATCCCAAGCTGCAAATTCGCCGTCCAGCTCGTCGTCGATAGACATCAGTGTCCGCTTGCCGGTGGGCATATTCGCTTCCACTCCGTTCGCTGAACCTGTTTGTTTGGGCTCTTTCGGGTTGCCACGGATGTTTGGTTTCTCTACTTCGTCTTCATCGTCGCTGCTCGTTACCAGATCATCATCAATCGCACTGGAAATCGCCCGATCCATCCCTCTCAGCAGTGAATGCCCACTTCCACTTGCTTTGGCAGCAGAACGGTCACCACCTACATCCGCACCGACCTTGCTAGCTGGAGCTGCTTCAGCTGCCCGTCCTCCACCATCGATTCGGCCTTCATCGTTCTCGTCGTCGTCTTCTTCATCGCTACTGGTCTCCAGGTCTTTGTCAATCTCATTCGCCACAGCCGGATCGAGTCCATCTAGCAACGACACTCCAGCTGGATCACGCTTACCACTACTTCCTGCTTCTCCTTCTCCTTGCTTCCTCTTCTGTCCTTCTCCGCCCTCGTCCTCGTCGCTGCTACTCGCCAGCTCCTTGTCGATCTCATCCAGCACCGTGGGGTTGAAGCCCCCAGCCAATCCAGACCCACACGCTCCACTTTCCTTCGTCTCAACTGAAGTGTCCTCCTTCGCAGTGTCCACCTGTCCCTCTCCGTCGTCCGAGTCACTGAACGCCAACTCGGCGTCCAACGCTGCGCTCGTCTCGTGCGGGAACGCCGCGTCCGACGTCCCCAGCATCGGAAGCTCCAGCTGCAGGGGCTCCGGCGACGTCCACACCGTCCCTGCGTCCTGTCCAGCAGAAGCCACATCCTCCATCAGCACCTGCGTGTCCATCTCCTTCAGGTCGCGCGATAGTTTGGGCACCAACTGGTCCGTCTCGGTCTGCGTGGAGGCGGGCACTTGTCGGTCCCTGCCTCTCTTCCTGGACACACCACTGTCCACCGTCTGCACACCATTGTCCACCAGCGTCTTCTTGTTAACTCGTTGCACGGCACCACTTAACTGCGTCTGACTCGCGCGCGTCAGCGTCTTCCGCTCGTCCGTCTGACTAAAAGCGTCCTTCACGGACCTCTTCGCCTTTCCGGCCGCGCGCTTCAGCTGCTTTTTGGCCCCTCCTGCAGCTCGCGCTGCAGCGCCTCCACGCGCAGGCGGTACTCCTTCAGGCGCGCGGCCGCCTCCTTGAGCTTGGACTTGGTCAGCTGCTTGTACTCGCTGCCCTTGCGCACCTGCCGCTGCAGCCGCGCGATGGTCTCCGCCTGCCGCTCGATGATGTCCGCCTGCGAGAGCTGGCCCGCCGCCGCCGCGACATCGACGTCCATTGACTCGGCCTTGCTCCATGAATTGAGTGGGTGTTGGCTACATAATGTAGTCATGACGGGTACGGTTTCTGTCCCTTTTGTGTAGAAACACATAATGTAGCCGTTCTATGGATGCATCGCCGAGTATACCGTCGAAGTGAGGAATTGTCGATACAGTGACACCCCTCTAAGAGGGATGTCCAAATAAAAAAACACTTACTTTTGGTGGCCGACTTATTTTAAAAAACGAAAGATAAAAAGCAGGTGCCAGATTTGCCAACTTAAAAGTCATTTAAAAAGAAGTAGGTCTGGGACCTGTTTTTCCCGGGAGATCTGACTTTTTTCTTTGAAAAAGCAGTATCGAGCAGCACTACAATGGCGCGTAGCAGAGCGACGATGAACCTGACGTCATGGACGTCGACAGCGTCAGCTCAGGAGTGACAGACGTCACGCTGGCGGCCACGACTGCCGCAGTGGAGGTAGAAGACGCACTTCTGGCTAAAGACGGTGTTGCTTACAGCCCACAATAGCGGTATGTTGCCTCCCAACAGGTCAGTGCTAGCGGAGTTGGGTTTGCGCGGTTGCCTGAAGCTTTGCAGGGGAACGTTCCTGCTGCTACAGGCGTCGAGTGTGGGCATGCCGCACACGAGCAGGACGTTGCTGCAGCCCACGAGCTTGACGGTGAGAGCCGGCACGGTGCTCCCCGACAAGATGTTGTAGCTGCTCAGCGAACTTTGACAGAATCAGCTTGTTCTTGAAACGCGCTTCAATTGCCAAAGCCGTCAGCTGGATTGTCCACTGCATGCTCTGCACTTCCTTCACCTTCGCCGTTGACGCCGTAGACTTCACCTTCGCCTTTGACGCCGTAGACTTCTTTGATCTTTGTTTCTTTGCATTGGGCTATGTGGTGGCGGCGCCATCTGCGTCCACTGTGTTACCCGACGTCGGCTTCGTCTTCACCTTGGTGGTCTTGCGAGTGGAGTTTTTCGGGTCGGACTGGTTACGCCGACTGTTGGCCTTCTTCTTGGCGGCTCTGCCCCCAGTTGCTTTGGCCAACTTGGCCCGTAGCTGGGACGGCAATCGCACCAAGTACGGTTTCTTCCTGCGGAGATGGTGTGTGACGTGAGACTCTCGTTCTCTTCAAGGGGGGCTCACGAAGCCCAGACGTCCCAGAGCTTGACGGTGAATTATCAGAAGACTCTCTGTTTTGCGAGTTTCCTTCTTCTTGGTACTCGGTGTTGTAGGCCGGTAGTCCTGCTGACGCTGGTGGCTTTGTCGTCCCGACTAGGCCTGATCTAGTTGCTTGAGCCTTCCGGGTTGGCATAATGAGGCTGTGCGCGTCGCCTTCGGCTTCTACTGCGAGCTGTAGTGGCCGCCACCGCAGTCGGTAGGCAACAGGAAATACCCGCACTCGGAGCTTTCAAGGAAACAACCTCTCTAAAAGAATGTTGCAGTATGATATTCCGTAGGTTACAGCGAAAAAGTCGGTTGGATGACTTTTACCAGGCTTGGACAAAGCCGTGCTTTGCACGGGGAAGCTCTGGATTTTCGAGTCTTTTTTCATTTTTTTATTTACATGTATTGCTTTGCAGACTTTTGGTAATTCGGACTGTAACTTGTACGACTTATCGAGCACGACTTATTGCTAAATCGTACTCGAGTACGAATTGCTGAAGCCGTGGGTGGTCAATCAGCACTAAGTAGTGCGCATACGCCATCTCCTGCATGATTTAGCACATCCAGCACCTTTTGGCAATTTCAGAAAGTGTCATTTCCGAACCAAACCGGGTTCGAGACTCGACTTAGCAACTCGCATTCAAGGCCACTATGATTTACCGCTAAGTGCGAACACTAAGTATTGCACTACATACTGGATGCAAAGCACAATACTTGGGCTGTCGACAGGGCCGCTCGCTTGATATGGGTCGTGATGTTTTGATGAACGTTTACAGATACAGTATTGCCCCACTTGTGTTATTCACTAAACTTCGTCTTCAATATATTTAATAAAGTAAAAGGGATTGTAGGTTTTATCAAGCGCACGTACAGTTGGCGTTTGTAGTAGGTGGCGGCTTTCTTGATCGACGTCTTTGGCAAAGACTCTTTGCTCAATGAAGCCACCCAGTTTCGCCGGTTGTGCCTTGTCGATCGTTTAGATTGCTCGTAGGTGATCCTCTTTCCGCGCAAACTGATTATCACGCGGTGTTTGAGGTGTAAACCACTCACTACCAATAGGAAACCGGAGAGCACGCCAAGCAAGGTATCATTAAACATGGTATTGAGTTGACGTGGTGTTCCGCTGAGTTTCGACTCGTCGATCTTAATATTTAAAGGGTTAACGCGAGACTCTGATTTGCTTAACACAATGATATAAAACATGATCATGGTTATTTTTAATCTATTGGAAGGGTGGGGGGCGTCGGCCTGTATAGTACAGGTTGTAATGAAGGCTCCACTGCAGCGTGTTCATTTACAATACAACTCATCAGAGCAACGCGATTGAGATCCTCCAACACTAGTCATTGGGCGAAAGCCCCATGATGGCGAGCTTACTTGCAGCGTTTCCGGCGTCCTTGCCGCTCAAATATTTACATGAGGGCAAGCTAGCAAAGTATGTATTGGTGTGCTGATGAGGCATTCATCTCACTTATATCACGTTCTGCTATTTGCTTCCACAGTTTAGCAAAGATCCTGCTACGGTTTCTGAATACGGTAGCTTCGTTTCCTTTGGTAAGTATACCTCTAGTATTTAATACTCTGGTATGTGATATTACAGGAGCATATGGTTGTTGCTCGAGTGAGTGAGTTTCATGGCCATCATTATGTTCGATGTGTATTGAAGCACAAGCAACATTCACTTGTGTCGAGCATTCGTAAGACAGTTTGACGACAAATCAAATTTAGCCATGTGATTGGCTAATATTATGCGTGGTGTTGTCCGTGTATGCCCTTGGCCGGGCCGTCTGCGTCACCGTCGTAGCAACGGATAGCCGTGCTGACGAGCAGAATCGGCAGCATGAACGTGTATTTGTTTCGTTTTCGATTTCGTAGTAATGTGAAGTGCATCACAGTTATTTGGCCTAACTAGCGACCTACTAAATGCCAGGTCCTTCAAATGAAAGTGCGTATTATACATATTTTATGAGGTCCGAGGAGCTCTTCCATGAAGCCGCGTAGTCGGCGTAAGTAGGGAGATGCCCTTCGGAGGACACGACGCGGTTGGTACACGGAGAACTGAATTGTGCTTGAGCGTACATTGAATAGCAAACGACTAGAATGTACACTCGAGCACTCTCTAGAAACTTGTCAACAAAGCCGAAACGGAAACACTACGTAGATTCAAGCTTAACAGACAGCAATAGACTGGCGCGGTTATAAGCGCTCTAGAATCGCTGCCTCTTATGCTACGTAACTAACCACGTTATTGAAGGAAGGCTTGCCCGCATCATGATACGTACATTGCAACCTGACAGTACGAAAACTCCTACAATATTTCCCTCGTGACACTATTCGTTACCATCCAGGCACTGAAAAGCTCTGGACGTGGCATTTTAAGAGCAACAGATCAGAACAGCCTTAGCGCTAAGGCTTCACGCAAGGCCTGGCGCGGCCGCCGTGGCTGCAGCCAGAATATCATCCTGTTGTCGACGGACCTACGCGCCATGCAACTGCGTCGTCTTGGCAAACAAAGGTGCCACCAACACAGCCTGCATCCGCACCGCTGTCGTGGTTCAGTGGGCCCGAGCATGCACATGCAGCTCTGCACGTCAAGTAGAGCTTTTGACCAATAATATGGCGCAAACTGGTGTCCGACAAACTGTCTTACGTTTTGAGTGACAAAATACAATGTAGCCACTGGTATACTAAAATCAAGATGTAATCAAAATGCGTTGATTGCAAAACGTAAGACGCTTTGTCTTACGGTATGACCAGTATCGTCTTACGAGAGAGCATGAATCAGTTTTGTCGTGAAATGATTGCGTCGGTTTAAGGCAAACATAAATCTATTATGGTGCTATCATTTCAAAATTGGTTGGGGTTTCGGGATTCACCCAACAACTCTGGATTAAAATCCAGAGAACATAACGCCGACTTTTTTCGCTTACTTTTTCACTGTGACTGAAGAAGTCAGCCAGCCAATAAGCTATCACTTTTTTTATCTGGACATCCCTCTAAGTATCTGTTTGATGCGTTGGCTCGATACTGTCCAGGAGTCAAGTTTGTGGCCAAGTATCCACTCGTTAATTTCGTCGACCAAGACTATTACGATGACAAGTGGGCGATTTCGTTGGAGACATGGAAAACATTTAACAGATCTTACACGGCATTGACGCAGTTTCATTGGCAAGTTGTCCCTTTCGCTGACCCATACTTTCGTGCATTTGGCGACCACATGAAGCCTCAGCTGAAGACGTTGACGCTTTGGTCGAATCCAACGTGGAAATATAAGCGGTATATGCATGAACTTGAGGAGACTTATCTGGTCGAAGCCAGGGGTTGCCCAGGTTATGGCGTGCGAGCTTCCGACGTCGCCGCAGTGTTGAAAGCTTGCCCTGCGCTGACGATGCTATCTATCGAAATGCACCACCTCGGGGGCTATCGCACAGACGAGATGTACGAAGATGTGGAGGTTTACGGAGATGTTTTCTGGGAATCCGCTGCTCGCCACTGCCCCAACTTGGAGAGAATCTCCGTGTCTACCTGCGACCACGACGACTACCATACAATAATTGCGAAGACACTCACTGATCGGACGTTGATGCACCTCGCTGAACTCCCATACTTGTTGAAGTGTGATTTGCCTCTGGGTCGAGTGACCGGTAGAGGAGTCTTCGAGTATATCCGGTTGGTGTCGAAGACGACAGATCTGATTGGGAACAAGCGTAGCATTCTGATCAGCATTGGCGGCGTTAAGCGGAAACCTGTGGAGATGCCAGTCTCCCACTCTGAAATCCTGGAGCTGATGAAGCTGCTAGCGGAAACGGACGAGGTATCGCTTGGTGCGGCATTTTGCCACCCAAAGCCAAATGTGGTCGTATATCGCCCTTACGAATTCAGCCCCGGCCGCGCTTGGCTTAGTACGTACACTCAAAATGAATTGAGGCCCGAGGGAAACTTTTTCGTGCGCAAGTTTGACCCTTGCCCTGCGTAGTAAGCCATCTATGATAAGCACTCGGATCTACATATAACGAACTTTAAGGCCGTAACTACAGCAGCAGCGAATTCATTGACCTAACTGTGCCTACAGAAGACACTCAAACCACTTAACTGGCATCTTTGACTCGTCCAGAAGAGCATCGCCGCTCACGAATTGCATGTCGAAATGGTTCAGCCTGGTTTTATAAAACCGATCTCGGTAGGTATCGCCGAACTTGGACTCCGGGAAGCCCCCGGCGCAGTTGTCGAACTCCACCATGCCGTCGTTCCGCTTCGACTTGTGAGGGATCGACTTTCCGAGCATCCAGAAAAATGATTGGTACAGTGAAACTTGGCCATAGTAGCTCTTGCTGCACATTACCGCAAATACGTTGGCCCGATACGCCTTTTGAGCGGCCATGTACGCTGCGTCGAGCTCTGGGGAGCTGTAGTCTCCGCCCTGGTACGCCAACGACTTCAATCCAGTTGTCGGCGGACACTTTCCAATTACTTCAGCGATTGCCTCTAAGAGAAATCCCCTGTTCCCGGCACACGAGTCTTGAACGAAGTCAGAGCACATACTCCCCTTCATCGGACCAGCGATCCCCACCCACGTCGAACTCGGATCAAGTTTACACTTCCCGTTCGCGATCGCTCCTGCCAGCATCAAATTCCCCATCGAGTGCGTGACGACGATGGTATCGGAGATGGTGGACTTTGAGCTGGTCTTGCTCACTTCAGTTACTCGATCACAGACTTTCTGCTGTAGTGCTTGGCTGGTCCAGGGGTTGCCTGACGTGTTCAGATACGTGTACTCCATGGACGAGCAGCACGGCGCGTGACCTTCCAAGTCGCCCCAGTAGTAAAATCGATCTCGATTCCGTGCGTGCTCCTTCTTGATCCCCAATCCGTGGACGAAGACGCACGGTCGCGGCTTCGACTTGCAGGAGCACGAATCCCCTAACGAGAAATCGAACTCAGCTTTCAGTTTGCGGTTTTCTCCGACTGCGATGGGGCTTCCGGTGAGCAGCGACCTGCCGAGCGAGGTCACCGAGCTTGAAAGAGCGGCTGTGGCGCATTGGTTACGTGCGCTGCTGCCTAGTTGTGGCTCTTCGATCTCTGCCCGAGTCTTCAGGTATTCAACAGAGACATCCATATCGCTTCCGTGTAACTTGAATCCTGGCGAACTGGATGAGCACAGGGCGAACTTGATACCGTTCGCCGACACTTTGAACACGCTCCCGGGCGCGCATTCGATGACGTCACCAGTACTCCCAGATACACCCGACACAGGTACAGCTTCGTTGATTCCCGATACGAAAGAGTTGATCGACGGAACCTTCCTCGATTCCGAGTCAATGCACTCCACCGATGAAGGCAAGTTCCTGTTGTCGGAGCTGGTCGACAGGTAAGTTTTGCCGTACACCTCCGAGTAGTTGTAACGTGTCGTGTCTTCAGTGAATTGGGCGAAGACATCGTAGAGCACTTTAGAACTATCAGCCGACAGAACGGGGGTAGCGAGCATGGAGAACTCGGACTGGCCGAACACCTTCATGGAGCTACGCTTGAGTGCGAAGTGGAAGCGAAGAGAAGGCCACTCTGCCGTAGTGGCATAATGGTGGTCCTGAGCTGCCTGCGTGGGGAATGTGAACCGGGCCGCGAAGACTGCCACTAACCACAAAGGATGTGGCAGCATACTGCAGGCGTCTAGGGAAAGTCGCTGAGCTGAAGGTGCGGAGAGAAGTCGTAATGAGCGCGGCTGGCAGCAACTGACTCTCGTGGACGACCGCAGTGGAACGGCGCGGCACTTCCCATCGTGGAAGAGAACGTCCGGTACTTGCAGTTCAGGGTTAGAGTGCTTGCCACTAGCGGGAACTTAAAATACCGAATTTGCTAGCAGTTCCCATAGTTATTTTGGCGCTGAATGCGAGTTGCAAAGCATTGTATTCCATCTGAGCGTGATATTACTTATGAAGTTGAAGCTCTAGTCTAAGGACAAGATCACGGGCAAACCGATTCCAATCAATTGCAAAGTATTTACGATATGAACTCTGGTACCTCACTTTAGAACTCATGAAAGGTCTGTTCACACATTACCAACAGGTGATTCCTCACTAATGACATCTTCGGGAGGCGCGAAATTCTTAAATTATTTAAACAAATGATTTCATGGCTAGCAGCACATGCCAAGAAGCCACACGTGATATTCTCTAAGCGGATAGCTTAGAGCCAGCGTCATTTCTTGTCAGACCATCAGTTTTAAACATTCGGTACTTTTTAATATGAACTTGAGTATTCAAAATCGGCTGGTACTACCGGTATAAAGCAGCAGAGGCGGTCGGATCGATGTATTTAACGAGTATTCAGTTTTAGAATAAAACGCCGCACGTGTGGGCCTTAGCGGACCGACTTCGGAGGCGGCGCGATGAACGATCGGCTGCGCTGCGCATTGCAGCCCATTGATCAACATTGTGTTCATCACGCCATGGCCCATGCCGAGCGCCACGGTGGGGCTCGTGGAGATCGCGTCGCCGCAGTACGTGGCGCACACAGCTCATAGAGCTGCGTGGTCAAGGCAATGATAAGCACGTGTGGGCCTCACCGACCGACCATTACTACTTCGGAGGCGGCGCGATGAACGATCGCCTGTGCTGTGCATCAATGCCCATTGATCAACATTGTTTTCATCACGCCATGTTCGGTATTCGCTGGGCATGCTCGACGGCACGCCGCATACGCTTGACCATGCCGAGCGCGACGGTGGGGCTCGTGGAGATCGCGTCGCTGCAGTACGTGACGCACACAACAGAGCAACGTGGTCAAGACAATGATAACAGTATCATGACATGCAAATGCAACCCCAATTATTCTTGTTAGCTCGTCGTGCAATAGCATCTCATCGTACCATAACCATGGTGGATGGGATAGGACGCCGCGTCTGTCGTCAGGCGATTAAACATTCCAAAAGCAGCACGTCTTTGTTAACGACCGACTTGAGAGTAGCCAGGTCAATATCACCTGGGGCAGTCAGTATTGTACTGCTCGCTAAGCACTGTACGTGATGCCGCCCTTCACGACGGGGAAAGCCCACCTGTAGATTGGCGTGGAAATACAGTGATCTTGGTCGTATCCAGCGACCATATGCGCCATGGTGATAAACAGCTACGCAGGAGTGAAGGGCTGACGCTGTAGTCGACAGGTGCTGTGTGGGCCGGGCCAGATTGAATTTCAACCACAGTACAGTGTAGAGTAGTGCGTAAGTAAGAATACAGCATAGACCTTCAAGGCCATGTTGATTGCAGTGACAGCGAACCTACACCACCCGCTGCTGGTTTATACGAGGGCTGGACAATTAAGTTAAGTTCTGTCGTAACCCAGATGGTCCAACCCACGCATAAAGCTGCAGATCAAGTCTTGTAGCAAGTTGCAAGTTTGGTTTGCTACAAACCGTCGAGCCGACGCGAAAGGACTATAGCAGGGACAGCGCTTGGGCATTATCAAGGCAAATCCCAGAATTATTCAAGGCAAGTCCCAGAGACGATTTACTTCAATATCCCTGTGCCTAGCGTGCGCATTCAGCAGAAACGAATTGTCAGTCAAGCACAAGCATCGGAGCTCGAGTGAAGTTGCGCCTCATGGCCGAAGAGGACCCGTTCGCTGAGATGGACGCGATGCTCGCAGAGCAAGTGCGCCTACGGGTACTCCCGCCGAAGCAAACGGTCCGCGGGGTGCGCGAGTTCTACCTGACGCACAAGCCGAAGGAGGACGACTATGTTGGTGTGACTCTGTGTGTCGCTGGGATCGAGGACCAGCCCTAGCTGTATCGGTACGACCTGGTCGACGCGATTTTCGAGGGCAAAGAGGATGGGCTGAAGGCGAGAATGGCCAAGATGGACCGCGCGATGCGCAACACTATCACGTTGCAGGTGACAATGTGGAAACCTCGTAAGCGTCCCCTGGGCGGAGTTCGCTGCCCGCACCGGGTTGGCGAAGTCGCCGTCATTGGCAAGGTCCGCAAGTTGCAGATGTACCATTCCCTTCTGCAGGGGCAAGTGGAGGCGGAGGATTGGATGGCTGAGCAGGAGCGCGGCCTCTAAGCGGTCCGACAAGTTGGAGGCGGCGGCGATTGCGGCAGAGTGACGTGCTTTCATGAAAATGCTGAACAAGATGCCGAGCGAACTACCCACAACCAGTGTTCAGCAGTTTGCGTTGGATGATAAGCATGAGCTTGGTTCATGCAGGGACCACCAGAAGAAAGGTATTTAGCAGATCATCGTGGTAGGTAAGCCTAGTTTAATATAACGAGTTGTCAGTGTCAAGCCATGCATTGTCCGTTTTAGAAGTTTGCTGGGAAGTAGTTGGGCACGTCGCTCTTGTGCCGTCCACCACCGTGATGCTATAGTACTGGTATGGCTGCGGCAGGTTCCTCAGCGACATACTTCGACCGAGTAGCGAGTTGCTCATCAGCCTCTCCAAGACTTGGTTTCGCCGTGGATCTTGCAGCAGTTGCGTTCGTTGAAGAGCTGCATCCACAATAAAGTAATAAGGGCATGTACTGCATGGGATCGGGCTTGACGTCGGCAGTCAGGACCAGTTACCGGTCGGAGGGGAAGCTCAGCAGCTTCTCGCCCACGAATATGAGCTTGAGCAACTCGGAGCTATAGTCGACGATGATCTTTGACAACAGTGACTTGGGTTTTGGGTACGAGGGCAGTGTGGGGGTGGGCGTGTGGTCATCTTGACAGCGGGACCGAAGCCTGGGGTCATCTCGCCAGCACGCCCACGACCATCTCGTGCGTCGAGGCACTAACCTCGACTAATAGTGCAATTGTACTAACAGTGACGCACTATTAGTACAACTGCAGTCACTGGCCAAAATTTCATTTTCTCCTCCAATCAAATTTTTCAGTTTCATATTTTCCAGTAACCAAATCTTCAGATATTTACTTCTGTAGTAGCAAAGAGCAGTTTTCTCGGAGACATCCAATGGAGGAAGAGACTAAGTGTGAAGATGGCGCTGGGTGCGGGCTGAGTGCGCAGGTGCGAGCGATTCGTAGTAGCCCTATGTATGCAGTACTGCTTGCGGAACAAAGACGAATAAGAACAGAACGAGAACAAGCTTCGGATAGCAATAAGCGCAGACACAATGACGAAGATAACCAGCCGAGTCGGAAACGTCGTAGAGTTGATAGACAGCGGGAAGCAGAGTATCAACGCCTTCACCGGCTTCGAAACCAAACATTAAGAGATGAGACTGCGTTTTATACCTCCGCGGAGCTCGATGCAATGGATGGCCCTTTAAACATTAAGGTACCAACCGAGGTAGACCTAGCTAGACTTCAGCGTTCTGCAGTTAGGATGTTTGATGCTTCAACCGGTGAAGGAGCAATTTGCTGCGTGTGCGAGCTTTTGCATCCTATGAATGATGTACAACTGACACCTTTGACGGATACCATTGCCGAGGTAAGATGTTCTCTGGTTAATTTAGGTGTCATGCGAAACTTCTCTTACCCTCGTGTTCGACAGAGCATGACGCGGTTATTGCGGATACCCGACAACGCAGATATACCAGAGTTTATCTTGAAGCAATACGACGCGTCAGCACTCGATGCTCGGATGAAGGACCTTCTCCTTTTCCCACCAGGTAAGATACAATGGAAACATTCAGCTACTACTGTGTTCTCATACTCGTTCTAATGTTGTAGCCATTCACAGAGAAAATAACACAACCATTATGCAGGTTTGTCGCGACTGCTTCGAATATATCAGCAATAAAAGTAATCGCAAGCCTCCTGCTTTCGCCATTGCGAATGGCAATTATGTAGGTTGGCTACCGCAAGAGTTTCCACCACTTTCTCGTACCGATGAACCAGCCATTGCATTGGTGGCACCTTGCGTGTCCATATCAACAGTCACTGGAGGAAATTGCAATACAATACGATCACATCACTACATGGTGAAAAATTCTGAAGGGCCCATTGTTTCCATGCTCCCTCGCGATATCTCAGAGCGCGTGCGCGTGACCATTGTTGGAAATCTAACTTCTGAGCAAGATGCAGCCTGTCGGAAACGCTATGAATTAAATGTTGAAAACTGCCGCCAGGTAGTGACATTTCTAATGGAAAACAACAAGGTATATCGAGAACATAAAGATGAGTGGCAATTGAATGCAAACGAAAGTTGTAGAACCCGAATAATCCAAAGAACAGGTACATCAACATTAAACAGTGATAATGATAGTCTAGCCGAAGCTGTAAGAGACTACGCTACATACAACAACGCCGGATCTGCCATTGCCTAGGGCTCTGATAAATCTCTTGAAAGTTGTTGGATAGGAACCTCTAGCCTTATCATGCAGCCACCTACTATCACGAATGATGTTGTTGTCAGAAAATCCAATGCGTTTGTGTCGGCAGATCGCTGGAAGGCATGTGTGCAAATGTTTCCGACATTATTTCCGGGAGGTTGTGGGGGTCCGACAGAAAAGCGCCTCAATCCTATTTCAGTGGAGCGATGGATACAACGCCTGCTACATATCGGGGATCATCGATTTGAAACACACTATGCTTTTTTACTCCTCGCATTTGATTATCTGGCACTGCAAAGTGCAAGACAAGCATGGCACATTAAACTTCATGTGTCATCTGACGCGTTAAAAGCAGGATTGATCTCCCGTGGTGTAATTCGTCGCTCCGTGGAATACCACGCCCATGTTGTTACAGCAGAAGCGCATGGAAAGAAGCCAAATCCACCCCCAAAAGAGGTTCAACAGGTTATTAACCTACGTAGAGATCTTCGTACCAGTGAGACAACATTTTATGGATCGAATTTGAGCAGAATGCGAGCACGACACGATCTTTTCGGATATATTAAACGTTTTGGACCACTACAGCTATTTTTTACGGTATCACCCGATACCGCTGGGACTTATACAATTGCTGAACAATCTGGTGTACTACCGCATCACGTAATCGAAGAAGCCAACATGCCTCTTTTACCAAACCGTGCTGATCGGAAGCGCATCGCCAACAACCACCCAATGCAGTGCGCCTTATTTTTTGACAGAATCATGACTATTATAATTGATGTTTTTCTTGGGTGGGATCGAAAGGCACATCAACCCAAGAAAGGAGGGGGAATTTTCGGTGTGGTTCGAGCATTTGGGGCTGCCGCAGAAACACAACAGGGTGGTGATCTCCATGCCCACTTCATGGTATGGTTACACGGATTTCCTACCACGTCACAGCAAATGAAAGAAGCCATACCGTGCAGGTTCGGACGGCTCGGACATTCGGACAACCTTTAAAACTAAATGCTATTAAATGCTCCGTGAAGTGTGGTGCACATAAAATCTTTCGCAATCCTCTGTCATACAGCGGCTGTTTAGTGGACAACGGCTTGGGGACTGCGCCAACAGCAGCAGCTGCAGCAGCAGCAAGACGTGCGGGATGTCGGCGCCGTGCGGGACGGCGGGTCGTTCCTCGGGCGGGGTGGCAGCCGTCGAGGCCAGCAGCAGCAGCGGGCTGAGGAGGACGAGGAGGTGGTGGAGGTGGCGGCCAACAGCGGAGTCGACGACATGAGAGGGATGCCTACGGCGGACACCTACTGTGACACTCACTTCATGTAAGTAGATAACGAGATGGCTGAATGAATCGATGTATGATGTAACTATGTGTTGGGACCTAACACTGGATCGCGACTACAATTACGTTGTGCTGTGATTGTTGTAGGGCTCAAGAACATGCACTGGTGCATCTTCAAGAGCCTTGCCCTCCTGCTGAAGTCGCTGGTGATTCCTGATGCGGTCGTCGAGCTTGCCTTGAGCATACATCCGCTTCAAAACCTTAACAATTGTGCCATGCGACTTTGCTTTCACGTTCTCAGCCTCCAGGAAAGCAAGAACGTTTGCCTCGGCCTCCCGTCCTGAGCTCAGGATGCGTCCCTTTGCTGTGACCTCATCTCCGGTCACGCTGTATCCGGCTGGGAGAAAAACCCGCATACAGGCCACGGCCACCTTGCACTCGTGATAGCGCCGCCGGTTTGGACGCGCGCTTGGCAACGGGGGCAGAAACCACTCGTACCACACAGTCGCGAGTGGCTTTGCACGCGAATGCGCACGAGTTGCCGCGCCGCTTGCAGTATCCGACAAAGCGCTGGACGAGCTCGACAGGCTATCAGCTGCTGTTGTCGACGGAGCGGTGGTTACGTCCGATGGGTGCTCAAGCCGCTGCTCCCGCTGGTTCAATGCCTTCACTTCGGCTGCTAGCCCTCCAAGGATCTGCGCCTGCTGCTTCAAGAGCAAGGTTTGCCTCCGCAAGAGTTCGTCGTCTTCAACACGCCGTGGTGCCGGACTGCGTGGAGTGTCGTTCTTGGACGGCTGTAAGGTACGATGAATAGCCATTGACCATGCAGCAATCTCAGCCTGTGCCGCCTGTACCTGACTTAGTACTTCTTGAACCCGTTCGATGTACAGTGACTCTGGCCTAAGCCGAAGCATGTCGGGGTAGTGGAGAATGGCGGTGGCGGTAAGTACGTCCACTACATCATCTCGCAAGCTGAGTCTCTCCGTGAACCCCTTCGCAGCCGAGAAAAGCCGGTCTTGAACTTGGCGAATTCGATGCAGAACCAGAGGATCGAAGTCGTCCAGTGTAGGTAGCCGCGGACTAGCTTTTAAATCCCATCCAGCTAACGACTTGCCGACGGTTTGATCTTCCTGCGTCGTGCCAACAATATAATTGAACGCTTTGCTCACAGCACTCATGCTCCAGCCTCCACGGTCTAGAATCCAAGGTGTGCTGATTTTGCTGTCACTATTCGCGTTTTGAGCAGCTCCACGCCGAAATGAATGCGATGATAACCCTGGCGTCAGGTTAGTACCTTCGGTTTGGCAGACACCACTCCACTTCTGCAGTACGCGATTATCATACGCGTGAATTCCGGGGACTGTCGCTTTTTTCGCAGGTGCTTTTGGGGTCGGCGACTCAGAGTTGGAGGTTGCTGGGGACCTGGTACGCGCATCAAGTAGTTCGCGGAGCGGCGTTTCGCCAATTTCAGTCGGCAGGAGCTCTTGTGTATCCCGAGGAAGTTGATCCATGAGAAACTCGCTTGGGGTCGACTGCATAATTGCAGCCAAAGCTAGTGCGTGAATTGGTCAAGACGAAAATCGTTTGGGTCGTGAAAAATCGACGCTCCTTGATACGAGGCAGACTTCATGCGCTTAAAGGTGATAAATAGACACCCACCTGTGTACCACGATTAAAAATACACAAGGTCAAAACCAAATTAGGAAAAATAAAAAGACAAGTACTTACCAGGGTAAACAGCGACCTGTTTTTTCACGAGACACATAGTGTCTGAAGACCGACCCAGCAAATACCAAAGAATGTTGAGAAGGGCTGGATCCTGGTAGTCCTGCACAGATACAGCCCCCTTCAATATCGCTAAGGTGAGCGAGCGCAGGTCGCTTTTCGTGCACGGTGGGGCCTGGTGCGTAAAATATGTGCCTCGCTTGGAGCAGTACTTGTCGAGGATTGACGCAATCTTTTGCAGCCGACGACCCGATACAGCACTTAAAGCTGGAAACAGCTCGAGTAGGTGGTTCTTGACGTTGCCAAAGTAGCTGGCGACCGAGTTCTTGGATAGCAGCGAGCCCTTCGAGCTTTCTTTAAATGCTAAATACACTGCAAATTTGTCGAGAACAATGTAGAGAGTATCGCCAGTTGAATCCCCACCTACAAACTCATAGATGGCGTTGACGGTGAAGCCCTCGGCGACCGCGAAGCGCTCGAAGGCGTTGAGAGCCGTCGAGCGAGCCCGCTGGGAGTTCCCAGGTATGAGCGCTTTCGTCGACATGAGTCGTTTCTTGAGTGGTTATGCTGCCTCGTCTATCTGGCGCACCCAAAATTAATATGTGTCCGAATATTGACGATATTTTCAGAATATTTGACTTACTGACTTTAACTATAGAAATATCAAATATTTTTCAGATGTTCGGACAAAATATGTCCGAATTGTCCGATTTGTTACTTACGGCACAGCATGAGATTTGAGGCACGCCGATTGGCTCACAAAATATGAGAAAGTCTTCTGATAGGCCAAGCGCTTGTCCGAACGGACACGATATTCTACCATATCTTCGAACGCAGCATTCACACAGCGTCTAACCGATTATGTTGATTGCATTTCAACAACAACTATCTCAGTGGTTGAATCACCAAATCGTTGCTTCAATGAGGGCGCTGGAGAATTGAAACCAGTTGCGGTCGGTATCGATGGATACCGGAAGCCATTGCCAGGACAACATGCACCGATTACTTCTTGTTGTCAGATTTGTAATGTCAATTATAGAGACAAAGATGTGATTAATGCTGCGATTGATATTGCTGCGCGTCGCAATGCAGTAAAGTTATCACCTGAAAACATTGATTTTATTAGATGCTCCCCACCGCGTAATAATGATAATAGCTCATTGTCGGCACTAGAATTAAGCCTCATCGTCCGCGATGTACAAGTTCACTATTGGAGCCACGCAAATTCTTGCTTTAAGCCTACGCGCAGAACACCGAAAGCATCTGTCTGCCGTTTCTTTAAGCCGCATGAACCTAGACTAGAAAACACTTGCATCGACGACGGGAACGATTTGCAGTTGAGCCGGCCGATTGGATCAGAGTACGTAAATGCATACAATCGAACGCTAATGCAAACGCTAAAATGTGACCACGACGTGCAGCTTGTGCTTGGAGCCAGCGCTAAAAACGCAGCAGCATACATTTGCAAGTATTGCATGAAAAAGCAAAATCCCATCGAAAACGAAGTTCGCTTTTCAGTTGGTGTATTCAACAAAGCTGTGGAAAAAGCAGATCGGTCAACCCATCACACTGCAGAGCGGAGAGGGTACAAATTGCTCTCATCTATGCTATATGCGCTGACGAACGGCCAAGAAGTTGCAGCACCAATGACCGCTTTATATATTCATCGCGGTAGTCCATATTGGTTCTCACATGAGCATACGTATGTGAACCTCGAAAAGATGCTACAGAGTACAAATTCACCGACAGTTGAAATTACGATCCCCGAAGATATTAACTCGGATTCAAACGGGCCCGTATCGAATGGTAAACGCAAGCTAAGTATGTACTGGAAACGACAAAAAGAGTTAGATAACGTCAATTTTATCACTATTTGTGAATGGTACCACAGCGGAAAGAAACAAGACGCCGATGGGGCGCTACACTTTGAAAAAAATGCACATCGGCAACTTTTCATCATGTCAGGAAAGCAATTGCCAGATCTTAACGCTAACACATCTGATACTGACAGAAAGTTTTAGTATTTGGTGCTTTTGACACTTTTTAAACCACATCGAGAAGGTAGAATTGTTGAAGGGTATCCAAACGCTGAACGCGCTTACATTGGGTTTAAATCCACGTGCTCAGCTCCTGAACAAACTCAACTGAGGGAATTCGAAGAGAAGTGGATAGATTATTACAGGTCTGGAGCTATAGAAAAAGAAGAGCAAGGATCACAAGAAGACATTCTGCTTCGCACAAAATCTCCTTCGAGAGCTCCATGGCAGCCCTACGATCGAGAAACAGAAATAGACAATGACAACTTTTCCGATGCGGCAAGTGGCGACGGCGATAATAGCGACAACGAGTTAGAAACATACATGGATCAATTAATCAGCGAAATATTGTACACGTGTCCTATTGATGCAGTTCAGAATTTGCGCTCCACAATCAACAACACATGCGATAATTACTCACAACCAGCAGAGGCTTTTGTACCCGCTTACACATCATTCGAAGACTACACCGAACACGTCACTTCATACAACAGTGACAATAACACATCAACAGGAACTAGCGATTTCATTGCAGCTTTTCCTGAAGCCAAGACAAGATTAGAAAGACTCCAGGACTGCTTCGAAGCAGTTCCCTGGGGGCCTGATCAAGCCACAGCCACTTCGATAAGTTCTATACCTGCCTTCCCTAGCATTGAAACGGTCTCAAAGGCCTTTAACTTCAACTTTTGGCAGCACGCGATATTTGAAATTGCAGCGAGGCATCTCCTATTTGCATACTTGTCAGATATCAAAGATGCTTTACAAGAACCATTATTTCCAGAAGATTTTGTCTTGCAGCCCTATGCTATCAAAGAACAGCTTATAGCGTACGTCGGAGGAGAAGCTGGTACTGGTAAATCACGAGTAATTCTCGCACTACTACTATTTGCCGAGAAGTGGGGTCGAGAAGGAAGCGTTGAAACCCTTGCCTTTACAGGAGTGGCGGCAATGAATATAAAAGGCAGAACAATACACTTCGCACGCAACCTTCAGCTAAACGGTACACAATCCAACTCTCCTCCCAGTTTGCAAATGAAAAATGCTTTTCAAAAGGTGGTATTAGTTATAATGGACGAAATATCTATGACAGATCACGGGTTACTAGGTTCCGCTGACATGACATCACGAGCAATGTCCGATCAACCCCACAAAATAATGGGCGGAAAGCATGCCATGTACTTTGGTGACTGGTTACAGTTACCACCTGTACGTGGAACACCATGTAAGTTCTAACCAGTTTCTTATTAGTATCTTCGTTTGCTAATTGGCAATTCATATTATTCCCATGGTCGCAGGCTTTAAACCTCCACCTCTAGCAGCAAGCACCGCTAGGAATGTTGAGTTTGAAGTCTACAACTCCATCAACTTTGTCATCTTTCTCACCGAAAATATGCGTGCCAAAATCGACCCAATCTACGCAGAAATTTTGAGTGAACTTCGATGGGGTAGACTATCAGACGCTCACCGAAAATTATTAAACTCCAGAGTATTTACAGACGCGCGACGTTCAGTGAGTAAAGCTGGTCGTTCTCCGGATTCCTATTACAATCCTGTTCTTGTCGCCACTAATGCACTACGATGTGCAATTAATGACACAATGACAATCCAAGCATGTACAAAGACTAACACTACGATATACGAAATCTCGGCAAAGCCGACACCTCGATCAAAGGCAATCTTCAACAAAATAGTTAACGCAAACGACGATGAAACTGACCGAATTCCAATGAAATTAATCTGCTTCATTGGTATGCCAGTAATGATTACAAGAAAACACCCCGCTCTAAAAGATGCAAACGTTATTGCTAATGGAACAACCGGAATCATAGTAGGTTTCGCGCCTCCACTACAAGAATCTGCATGCCGTAATAAACTAGTTCATGGCACTATCGTAAAAGAGGTGCTTAACCCCCCCGACCTAATTATCATTCGCGTTCACGACTGCGAAAGCACATTGGTAGATGGATATCCTCCGGGAACTATCGGAATACCAGTTCTTAACGCACAGATTAAGCTGTCAAAATTCAAGAATCTAGCTCGTTCATCGATTTCAGTTCGTCAATTTGCAATAGTGTCAGCCTTCTCCTGCACAGCTGAAAAACTACAAGGGAAAACCTGCAAGGATGGCGTTACGGTAACGCCCTTAGAAAGACCAGGAATGCCACATCAAACTCTCTATGTTGCACTATCACGAACGACATCACTGCAAATTCTAACACTTACCGAAGATATCACACCAGAATGCATGCAGCAGTTCCAACCTCCTCCTACGTATGTAGCCGAAATGCTACGACTCCAAGCTCTCATAGATGTGCCACCATATATTCCTTCTGAAGAGCTCTTAAAATTCAGTATCTGGCTGGAGAAAAACAACATACATACAGCAACTTGAAAAAATAGAGAATATAAAAAGTGGATCCACTCGATCCCGATCTGGAAAGCGTACCAGCGTTGAACTCGGCGTCTTTGCTGTTGTGAGGGGCCGCTACTTATCTGCCATGGATGTCTGCCGCGCGCAGGCTCCAAGATTTGCCATAATGATCACCACCTGCCCCCAAGCTTCGGAACATACCCACCAAGCCTCCGAGTCCACTCCGACCCAAAAGACATCCAAGAGGCCTTCGGGGTCAGTCACGGGGTCATTTTAGCCGCCAGCGCGTTCGGGGACGACGTCCACAACCTGCCAAGCAACCAGCGGACGGGTAGATTCAGTGCGAGCAGAACGTGGCGAGTCGAGATGTCCACGTTTATCATGGACGCGATGGAGACCCGGTGGTCCGCTGATGTTCGCTGGCGTGGCGCATTTCATGTTGGGGTTATTCTGCCCTAATTGCCAGCTCAAAAGGCACGGCCTCAAGCCTGCTGTCAGCTTTCCGACCGAAACCACGATGACTCCTGAGCAAGCTGGAGAAAGTTACCGACTCTCATCGCTCATGTACCAGTGCATCGGGCTCAGTTTGAGCGCCGACAGGTCTAGCAACATGCAGTTGTATCGGTAAAGCTGGTGTTGGTCCGCAGCGGAAAGTTATCGCCCACATGCAGTAGGTTGTTTTCTCCGCGCCTACCATTCAGCAACAGCAATTGAAATAGTGATGCTACGGTAACAAATCCGGAGTAATAATGAATCACCTTGTATTATCGTGCTTTGCATCCAGTATTTAGTGCACTAGTTAGTGTTCGTATTTAGTGGTAAATCATAGAGGCTTTGAAGGCAAGTTGCTCAAGTCGTGTTTCAAGCTGGTTTAGCTCCGAAATGACACTTTCTAGGAGTGCCAAAAGGATGCTAATCCGTACTGGATGTGCTAGATCATGCAGGAGATGGTGTTTCCGCACTACTTAGTGCTGATTAACCATCCACGACTTACAGCAATTCATACCTGAGTACGATTTATAGATAAGTCGTGCTCGATAAGTCGTACAGTTACAGGCCAAACTCGCGAAGAAGTCTCGTTGGATGACATTATACTGGGTTGCAACAACTCACGCACCATGGAGTACTGTAGACCTTGACAGTTTTTCTTCCTGATCGTGGGGCGAGCAAAAAAAGATAGTAACAGAAATAGCGATAACAATATCAGTTTCAAAGTCAGTAACTAATAGCGGTTGCAGTAGCGGTGGCATTGACAGTAGGGCAGTTGCAGTGGTAGCTGGCAGTGATCGTGACGCAGGCGAACAATTTCAATAGCAATATACCGAATAAGAATTATTGTGCCTTTCACTTATTCTGCCGTGATAATTCTGGCATAACTCTAATCCGTTATCGACCTTAATTATGCCCCGAGTTAGCTAATTCCCATGTTAATTCCGGGTCGTCCCTCCGTGGCCGAATTAGGAACGGCGATGGTGAGGCCGACTTCGTTAGGCGGAAACAGAGCGATTGGCGGTTTCCTATCCGCCAATCCATGCCATTCTGCTCGTATCTCCGTCGATTAGCTCTCAAATGCTGATCGCGGATGTTAGGAGAAGCGCCCACAATCTTAGGCAGAATTAGCACTAAATAAACATTGATCACCCTTTTATGACTCTAATTCCGCCTGAATTAACAGCTCACCCGCTAAAATACGTGAAAGACACAATACGTCATATTGATACTACTTACGCAGCAATACAAGTCACACACATTATTTGGAAAAGAGGAGAGTGATTTACAAGGGTCTAGAGGACGATAAGATCATCGATAATGTTTGGATCGCGTCGTTTTCACCACGGTGGGCGGCGATACTCAGATGGCATCTACTTATAAGTTTAGTTTGAGCAAGCCATGAAATGCCCCGTGATATTATGCAGCAAGTCAAGCAGTATGGAGTAGATTTTGGCAGTCTTTCTCAGGCATGAAAAAGAAAGCAGGAGCAATATCATTACAGTGCCATTATCAATGCTGAGATCGTAGTTGTAGCGTAAATAACAACGGTAGCGGTAGTGGCAGCAGATAATAAACAGTCGCAGTAGCGATAGCAGCAGATACGAACAAGCAATATCAATGACAACATTACTATGACATCATTAACAGTAGTGAAATAGTAGTTGTAGTAGCTGTAGTACAGCGTTATAGTGGCAAAAAACGCAAAACTGTTCGGTGCGTTTGCCTCCGCTTAGAGACCCGCACGCGAAGCGCGCCCCAGTTAAAAGAAGGCAAATATGCTGAGTATTGTTTGCAAACGAAACGCTATATTTCCAATCACTCACAACCAACGCGTTTAAAACGTCTCTACTTGAAATTTGCATGCCAGTTTCTAAATGTGCACATCAGACAATATTTTTAGCAGCTTTCAGTTCTGTACAAAAATGCAGGAAAATATCTCCCTTCACTAACTGGTGCTGCTCCAGCATGGCTTACTAGCATTCCTGTTGTTTCAGGAAGACTGCCTGCAATCAGAGCCTTTATGCTGTTTGATCCAGCACTTTGTTAAAAAAACATTTTTCTATGAAGTTTGAGAAATGATTTATGTAATTCATTTCGAAATACAAGAACCAAGTCCACTCCGAATGATAGATGCTTTGGGCTGGACTGGTCGATATCAATCGTAGCGAGAAAGCAAAACAGATAGAAACAATCGCTTTTCCCGCATTTTCCAAAATGCTGTCAAGACTCGAGCTGCTTCCGCCACCGCTGCTGGCATACTGGAGTTCGCTATCTCTCAGTTCGCCCTGGACGTGGAGATGCGCGGATACAAGCCGCCGTATGACGACATGAAGCAAGTTGCATTGGTCTCGACAACTTTGTTGGCAACGCTTCGAGATTTCGTGAAAAGATTTATAGCTGAAACGATGGAGTTCGATCTTCAAGATTCGACAACACCCGCCCAAGTTGCAGCTAAAATCCAAGACGTGGCTACCAAGGGATCGGTTATCCGTGATTTCCGGGTGCGAATGGGGCCTGTTCATGATTTCTTTTACTTCGAGGCGCCAATGCCAAGCGACTTGGAGCAGTTGGAGATTGACTGGACCACAGTCTTCGGGTGTATGTCTAGCTTAAGGCGTCTGGATCTGGCCAGAGTGCCGCTGTCGAGCCGCCATTTTGAGAATATACTGGAGGCTGCAGCGACGAAATGCCCCCACGTAGAATTCCTGAGTCTGCCTTGCGAAGGAGACATTACGCACTCCGAAAATCTCATGGCTTTGTGCAGTGCAATGAAGACTTGGTGCGTCAGAGGACGACGTGGAGGGCTGAAGCAACTCACACTGCCCTCATGCCCGAAGCAGGAGCACATGCCCTTCCGCAACAGCAAGTGTCTTTTTGATGCGCTGGCTCAATATTGTCCAGGAATCAAGTTTGTGGTCAAACATCACCTGATCAACTTCTTCGAGGCAGACTATTACGATGATAAATGGGCAATATCGTTGGAGACGTGGCGAAAGTTCAACGCATCTTGCACGGCATTGACGCAGTTTCATTGGCAAGTTGTCCCTTTCGCTGACTCATTCTTCCGTGTATTTGGCGACTAAGTGAAACCTCAGCTGAAGACGTTGACAATTTGGTCGAACCCAACGTGGGAATATAAGCGACATATGCGTGAACTCGACGGATCAAATGTAAACGGAGCCAGAAGTTGTCCAGGTTATGGCGTGTTAGCTACCGACGTTGCGGCGGTGATGAAAGCTTGCCCTGCGTTAACACTACTATCTATCGAAATTCACCACCTCGGGGATTATCGCACAGAAGCGCGGTACGAGGATGTGGAGGTCTATGGAGATGTTTTTTTGGGAATCCGTTGCTCGTCACTGCCTCAATTTGGAAAGAATTTGGGTGTCTACCTGCCCCGACCACGACGATACCCACATTATATTCGTGAAGACACTCACCGATCGGGCGTTGGCGCATCTCGGTCAACTCCCATATCTGGCAGTGTGTGCTTTGCCTCCTGGTCGTGTGACTGGTCGAGGCATCTTCGAGTATATTCGGTCTGTGTCGAAGACGGAGGACGCAATTGGGAAGAAGCGCAGCATTTCGATCGGCATCGGTGGCATTAACCGCCGAGAAGGGAAGATACCATTTTTTTACTTTGAACTCGTGGAGTTGCTGAAGCTGCTAGCGGAAACGGACGAGGAAGCGCTTGGTGCGGCATTCTGCCGCCCAAAGCCAAAGGTGGTGGTTGACCACCCTTACGAATTCTACCCTGGTCGGGCTTGGCTGGATACGTACACTCAAAATGAATTGGAGCCGCTACTGAAGATAGTGCAAGAGAAGCACCCGTCGCTAAAGCTTGACGTGGATACAGGCGGGACAATTGACAGAATCAAGCTGTGTTGGTGATGAATCCTTTGGGCTAGAAACTCGTAAGAGTGAAAGACGATAGCAATGACTGTCGAAAATGGCTTTCAAGTTTCGTATTTCGTACTAAGCAATAAATGAATACGTAGTATGTGAGTCACCATCTAAGTTTGTGAATGATCCAGGTGGACGAGCACGGCACCATCGTCGATTATTTATTTATCGGTTCGGATACGGGTCAGACCTGGTGTTTTGGTCGGGCATTTCAGGAGGGATGACGTACCTTGGGTAGGACACTTTCGCGTTGGCTCTCGTCTGCGGACTTCGACACGGGGGGCCCGCCCCCTCTCTCGCTTCGCTCGGGGGGCGCCGCTGCGCGGCCTGCCCCACCCCCTTAGTCGAAGTCCTCGACTCGGGCAGGCGCTGTGTCTAGAAAAAAAATATCGGGTCGCAGCGCTCGCGTTCGCTCGCTCGCGCAGACACGCCACCGCCTGATCGGCGGGTGTTGGCAATGCGTGAATGCACTTGGTGAGTCTCGCGCTCGCGCTGCTCGCCCGTGATGTCGCCCACCCTTGCCAACTAGCAGCTGGAAGTGGCCAGGAAACGTCTTTATTGTTGTATATATATATATTGAAAAACCTGACCGGAAATTCAGGCCCGACCTGTATCCGACCTGGTAAATAATCTACCCCATCGTCCTCGTCCGTGGCCACCGAGTGGCTCAAGGGCAAGAGCGTGGACGAGTGCCTCAAGATCAAGAACACGGACATCGCGGCGCACCTAAAGCTGCCTCCCGTCAAGCTGCACTGCAGCATGCTGGCCGAGGACGCCATCAAGGCCGCCATCTCGGACTACAAGCGCAAGCAGACGGCCTCGAGCTAAGACGGTTCTATAGGATAGCAACAGTCTTGTCGCCGCCGAAATGAGTGACTGATACATCGGCGCTTCATGAGGGCGAGCTTGGCCCCCGTGGACGGAAGACAGGTCAAAGTCGAAAAGCATACAGTACTTGCTCAAGCTGTTCAATTACTAGTAACACAGTTGCTAACTTATTGCCCTCCGAAGCATTGTTGTCCTTGACTTCCCACGTCTCTACGCTTTATCTTTCCGGTGGTGAGGGATTTCGCGTAGATACGTCGGAGACGGATGCTTCTTATCGTAATCAAGCGAGAGTATTCGACTGATTGAAATGTCAAGCCAAGCATTGGACTGATTGATACTTAGACGCCTCCACCTTCTCCATCCACCGCAACAAGCGACGCGGCACTCACAGCGATGGACACCAAGATCCGGACGGCTCTGGATGAGAACCTTCGGGCTGTCAGCAACGAGGACGACGCTGAAAAATGCCGGCCTGTGGTTGTTTTCGAGTCGATAACTCGTGCGGAGTTTCGTGAGTGGCTGGACAAACATGAAGGGGAGCTGCGCCGGTGGCAGTACGAGCCTCTGACGGCGGACTCCGGGCGTGTCGTGATCTACAGTTATCCGACGAAGGTGCACAACGTGGCAGCAGGGAGGATCATCCACGAGATCCTCGTCCATGTCGGCGGCACCCCCGACAAGCAGAAGGCATCCTTGGCGGCGCTCAACATCCTGATGTCGCCGATGTGCGATGTTGGCGACCGCGACCAGGAGCCGGACGGAGGCTTGAAGCCGAGGGGTGCCCAGCGTTGGAGAGGTGGGCACCCCACCTCTCCAACGCTGATCGTCGAAGTCGCATACAAGAACGAGTCGTGGGGCGGTCTGGTCCTCAAGTTGAGGCGCTGGATGAGTTGCAGCACCGCAGTCCAAGTGGCGATCGGCGTCAAGGTATACAGGACTCGTCGCCGCATCATCCTCATACAGCGCAACGCTGATACCATCGAGATGGACTTTGTTGCTGGCCAGGAGGAGTTCGTTTCGTTCCCGCTTCGGGTCCTGTTCCATGGAGATGCCTGCGCTGTTGGCTGAGCACGCGAACAACGTGATCGCTGCCAACCTGGGGGAGCTGGGCAGTGTCATCGACGAGGCGATTTAAGGCGATAAATGCGGACAGTTTGGTGATGCGAGCTAAACATTTGATTCAGAATCCTCGTCGAATATCTTTCACTTGATATGCAAATCGCGTCGTTATCGTTGAATTCCGGTTGTAGACGAATGAGTCCGTCTCAACCTTGTAGCCGAAGAAGGTGGAGCCGTGTACACGTAGCGTATCATGTTGTATTTTGTATGGTTATGGACGCAGCTAATTCATCGGTGACATGCATCTAAGTTGTAGTTTATTTGAGATCCGTGAGTCCGTGCTCTTCAAAGACGACCTTCAGCTCGGCAATGACCCGCACAATCTCGGCGTGGGCCTTGCGAAGCGGCTCAATGGCGTCGCCTTCTCCGACGTGCAGCTCCCCCAGAATGTGGCTGCGCGTGGGGATCGAGCCCAGAGCAGTGTTGACGCCCTTGCGGACAAGCCACGGGTGGCGCTTGCCCAGAGTCTCCTCGTAGGCTTTGCTGGCGCCGTTGTAGCAGTTCTCCTCGGTCGACTCGAGCAGCGTGAGACGAACACACGCCTCCACGAACTGGATGAACCACAGCAGCCGCAACAGGCAGCGTGAACACGAAGGCTTCTTCTTGCCGCCCACGTCCGCCACGCCCAGGTCCACCTCGTGTTCGATCACGGCCCTTACGCTCTGCTCCTTCCACGTGTTAGACGACGATGGCACCGGCCACGCCTCCAAGTTGTGGTCGATAGATGTGAAGTAAGCTCCAACGGTGCTACCGGCGAACGAAGTAGCACGACCGAAGACGCCCAGGAAGCCGCAGATGACGTTGCACGTGGCCATGAAGCGGTCGAGGCGCAACTGACCATCCGGGGCACGTGTCGCGACGCCTTCCTCCAGAGATGTGACCAACTTGTCCAGCGTAAAGCCCTCGTCGTGGCTCTGGTCGAGCACTGAAACTTCGAGATCATCTTCCTGCGACGTGTGAGGCGACGGAGGAGCTGAGGCCTCCACCTCGCGCCTCTTGCTGGCCACGCTAGTGTCCGACAGGGATGACTTCGTTCGGCTCCTCTGCTCACCAGCGGTGGAACTCACACGGCGACGTCGACGGCGACGCTGCTTTGTCTTCTTCACGGACTTGTTGCTGCCCTTCGGCCTCGAGAGCTCGTCGAACACCACCAGTCCCAGCAAATACGTGCCCAGCGTCCGCATCGAGAGCAAATTGTCCAATGCACGCTCCACGAAAGAGTATGGCTGCGGGGCGAGTACAGCAGGAGCTGAGTCCGAAGTCACGACACTTCCTTCGACGCCGCTTCTCCGAGTGTAGTAAATCACGCGTAACGCCACGAGCACTGCCACAGCCAGCAGCGACACCCAATGACGCGTTCTCAGATGCGTGTAGTAAACCACTCGCGTGACCTGAGTCGAAGATCCCCGCATCTTGGAGATTCCTGCATTACCGGCGGCACTGGTAGTTACCACCTTCTGCGCGGGAGAGGCCTGCTTCACGCCGCCATTTGCAGCAGCCCCAGGCTTCTCCTTGCCGTGGATGAGCGACGACAGCGTCTTGGCCGGCACGGAGTGACGACGCGACAACCCGTTGGTCGCGTCGCCGTGCTTGCTCGTGAACGTGTCGTCGCTGCGCATGGCCATCAGCGGCGGCGACGCGTCCGGGAACGCGTCCTCTCCCCCGCTGCCGTTGTCGGCGTTCATGACGCTGCGCGCGCACGGGTCGCAGAGCCTCGAGCCCTTCTTCCGCTCCAGGCGGCGGTGCAGCTTCATGCGGTTCTTGCTGCAGTCGTCGCAGATCTTCTGCGCGCAGAGCTTGCACGTGTGCTTGGCGCGGAAGACCGTAAAGGACCGCTCGCAGATGCTGCAGCCCTTGGCCTTGGCCGCCGCGGGCTGCGACGGGTCCTGCACCACGTCGTCCTCCTCCTCGTCCGCGTCCTCGTGGTTGAGCTCCAGCGGGGGCGGCGCCACCGTCTTCTCCTTCTCCTTGGCCGCCGCCTTCTCCTTGCTCGCGGGGCTCTTGCGCGCGCGCACGTTCTTGATCTCGTCCACCACCTTCTGGCGCAGGTTGCGGCCGCTGCGGCCTCCTCCTCCTCCGCTGGACGTGAACGCCGGCGACGAGCTCGGCACGCGCATGGCGTCCGCGGCAACGGCCGGCGTCAAAGATGGAGAAGTGACCACCGCCGGCGGGGGCGCCGCAGCCGTCGCACCTGCCTCGCCCATCGTGGACCGCGACGCGCTGCTGATCTATGACCCCGAGGGCGCGCAAGTGCACACACTTGCCCTGCAGTGCCGGGAATGCGGCGAATGCGCTTCTGCGTACGTTTGTATGAGCAAACGACGCATCGCTCTCTCTGCACACCGGCTCTGTCACACGCCAAAACGTACCGGTATCAGTTGACCAGTTTTGCGCTCGCTGGATTTTTTGCGTGCACACAAATTTGGTCTGGATACAAACGTCAAGTGAAAAGGAGGAGCCGATCCGAATTTGCAGATACCATACGGACTATTTCGGGCACCAATTGCCAATTGGCAATTGGCAAGGAGATCTACCGGTAGACCGGGAGATGGCAAACATCATCGACGGAGAGGCTGTTGCGGTTGTGTCGTTTTGCTCAGCTTGGAGGTGACTGCAGTCTCATCAAATGCAGAGTCGTCGACTCTGGCAAAAAATAAAGCGTCACGAACAGTGTGGGGCACTTTCGAGCAGAATCAAAATTAGCGTCAAGACTGCACACTCTGACACGCCAAGATGGTGAGTGCTAAACTGGACAAAGGCGAGTGGAGTGGTAAGACGTCGAGTGATCTCCATGCAAATCGCTGCAAGAGCCCTAAAAATAAAATTCGACCCATCAAGTGATGATCTACTCTGGGGGAAACCACAGTCAAGAAACGACCTGCCTGCCACTGCTCCTCGAGCTGGTCGTCAATAGACAAGAGCGCGGAATACATAAGTCGTGAGACGCAACCTCCGGTAGCCAAGATGATGGACATGACGTCCGATAGTGCGGTCGTGCCGGAAGACACAATCCAGCGCAATCTCGAGTCGGGACGGCGATCACGCACCCCACGCAGCGGACGAGAGCCCCGGAGTGGCAATGATCATACGTGGGCCGACCCAGTCGCCCCTCCACCTCAAGCTCACATCGAGCGCGTTGAAGATGCCCCGCCAGCAAACGCGGTGGGTACCCCCGAGCGGGTTCAATCTGCTCCAAAGCAAGGGTCCGTGCGTGCAATGATCAAGCGAATGACCAGGTTGTTCCACCCGGATGACGATGATATGGACCCGGCACAGCGCAAGGCGCACTACCGTCGAGGTTCGATCCTGATTAAGCATCTGGAGGAGAAGCAGGCGACGGGCAAAGCAACGGAGACGGACATGAAGTTCTTCGAGGTGGTCAAGAAGCGGTTCGATGCGAACTTCATGGAGTCGCGGACGATTATCTCGCTCTCGGTGTTCCAAACGGGGTCTAACCCCATGGACGACCCGTTCGCAGTGATTCACATGCCGGTGGTGATCCAGCAGGGGTTCCGCCGCAAACTCTTCTCGATCTTCACGCTGCAACTGCTTGTAGTCGTGATTCTGCTCTTGCTTTTCTCGTACGTTCCAGCGATCCACAGTGCGTTCAAAGACGCCTTCTTCAACTGGCACTACGTCTTCATCATGTTTGTGGTCATGGTGCTGGCGCTGCTGTGGCTGTACCTGGTCAAGTACCGCTTCCCGCTCAATTTCATGGTTCTCGCTGTTTATACCGTCACGCAGAGCCTCTTCTTCGCCGCGTTCGACTGCTTGTTTGACACAAAGGCCAGCATCTTCATCTTCACCTTTCTATTCGGCATCATGGGGGTCACCACTGTGCTCTCCACGACGATCATCAAGCGGTCGTTCGACCCGAACATCCAACCCACGCTCATCAGCTACCCGGTAGTGCTCCTCATCTCCTTCTTCCTCGGCTTCGTAACCTCGCTCTTCATCTACTTCTTCTACATGGTGGATGTGGTCTCACCGCTGCAGTACAGTGCGTCACTGGCGGTCATGTTGCTCCTCATTATGTGGTTCGCCTACGACGCTTCTTGCATGAACGAGCGGCTCTCCCCGGACGAATACATGCAAGGAATGGTCTTCTTCTACACCGACATGGTGCTCTTCTTGCTCTTCCTGAGTATCATTTTCGTGGCATGTTTCGCGTGTGAGGGTGACTGTGCTTGCTACGGAACTGCAGATATTGTTCCGATTGGTCGAGGTGGTGGAGACGATGATGAAGGAATGGACGATGAAGACGGTGTCGAGGGTGGCGAAGGCGTGGTGGAAGAGTCTCAATAGGAAGGCACAAATTATCAACAGCAGAGTGGTGAACGGAGCAATCGGCAGTCCGATCCTTAATACGTAGATCCTTTGGACACAGGCGTTCTTAGTGCAACTAGGGATAAGCAGGTTTTCAGCCCCCAAGCTTCCTGCCAAGAAGGTGGACGAGGAATGGAGCGAGGATAGCGTATGCAACGGACGTAGCGGAGGATTATACGACCTACGAGGAAGGTTTAAGTTATCGTGCACTTGAGTGTCAACTGTAGCTCGTTTCCGGCAAAAGGTAAACAAAGCACTAGCACGCGAAGCTCATGCATAATCTACATGTATCTATCTACTTGTTTGCTTGTTTGTGTATTTTCTTGGTGAATTATGAACGTTGATCGCTAGGGCCAACCGCTTCTGTATGCTTACATCAGCTTCATCTTCTGCACGCTACCGAGCACCATGAACGCCGCTGCAACACCGAGCCCTGTCACTACCAAGCCGACGGCGAGTGTGATCCAGCCGATCCAAGCGCCCGGGTCCGGGAACGAGTAGCTGCCGATGTCCGAGGCCCACTGCGGCTCGGCCCAGATCGGCATCGACGAGTTCACCACGTCGTACAGCAGCGGTGTCGTGGTACGCGTGACTCCCGGCGAGCTGGCTTCGTGATGGTACGCGCTCTTGTCGGCACAGACACCAGGATACACGCACTCCATGCCCTTACCACCGTCGCCGCATCCTTGACTCTGTGAGCACGTGGCAGCAGCATCAGCCGTAGCATTCGGCACCATGGCAGACGCAAGGAACGCGCGCGTGAAGAACTCGTAGGCGTTCGGGAAAAGGCGCACGGCGTAGTCGTCATCCGACCAGGACTCGTTGAACAGTGACGAGTATGAGCCATCACTCTTCTTCAGCACAAGCGTAGACCGGTCGGCGTCAAGCGGGCCGGGGTACAAGGTAGCCGGCACAGAGTACGACGGCCACGCCGAGTCCGTCAGACTCAGATACTCGATCAGCGTCGTTACCATGTACTGCGAGTAGTTCTTCATGAGGTCGCAATTCCAGTCCATCGAGATGCACGACAGCATCGACTCCACCAGCCACGTATCCACCTCGATCTTGTTCATCTGTGCGGTGGTAGCGTTGCTCGAAGCAAGCGTGAACACACTCTCCGCAAGAATCTGAGCAGCCTGCACAACTGCATCCACATCCAGGACAGTAAATTCATCATGACGGCTGTTGTACGTCCTCTTGGACGTGTAGCTCTCGTCGTAACCTGCAAGCACCGCACCCACAAGGTCCCGTTGACCATATTCAGCACCATTCACAAAAGAGGTCAGCGGCGTAGGCGGGAGCGATCCAGTGCTGCCTTCTCCAACAGCGGAAGCAGCCGACGGCGCACTCAAAACGGCATCAACCAGATCGCTCGTGTCGTTCGCGTGAGGGTTGACATGCAGCGTCAAGTTGCCCGACTTCGGGAGAATGCCGACCTGGTCCACAGCAATCGCGTACGAGATGTTGGCCAGCTTCACGTTTGCAAACTCCGTGCTACTCAGCATCGGAGAGGTGCAGAAGCTCTCGCCCATGGGTGATGATGAATCGTCCACGGGATACTTGCACGCTGTTTCCGGGTCCTTCGTGAATTTCTGCAGGTCCGAGAGAAACTTGCGAGATCCCACAAAGCCAAACTTTTCGGCCTGGAACGCTGCGAACACCACTTTCTTATCGAACGCCGAGTCCGGCAGTCCCTTGAGAGCATGAGCCGCTGCCAGCAACGCCACAACTCCAGACGCCCCCGTGTTAGCTCCGGGCGCCAGCACATGGGACACCGACGTGGCGTCCATGCCCGCCATGGCCATGACGATCTCGCCCGATTTCAAGTTTCCCCTCATGGCCCAGGAGCTCTGACCTCCGATGGGGTCGCACTTGGGGCTGCGGTTGCCGTAGATGTTGGTGAAGTTGAGGCACTTGAGCGAGTTCATCTCCTCGGGGCCGAAGTAGTAGTTCATGAAGCCCTTGTACGTGGCCCCTGCCCCGTTCTTGAGGTTGATCTCGGCTCGCTTGGTGAACTCGGCGCCCGTCGAGGCGTTCTGCAGCATCACGACGGGGAACGGCAGCGACTCGGTCAGCAGGCCGTTGCCCGTCGGGTTCCACTTGGTCTTGTCACTGGCAAATGGGTTCAAAGCGCCGTCCACGGTGCCGTCTCCCTGCGGCGTGGCGGCGTCGAAGGAGCCGTTGTTGCTACCAGTCTCCGGGTACACGAAGAGGCCCCCGATGCGGTCGATGCCCGAGGAGATGGCGTCGTAGCTCAGCAGCGACTCGGCCATGACCAGCACGTACTTGGATGCCGCGTCCTGCTGCTGCGCCTGGCCGGCCACGAAGCTCTGCAGCTCGTCCGCGCTCGATATTGGGTACAGCGGCGCCATGTCGGCGGCCGAGAGGCTGCGGCAGCCCACGCTGCCCCCGGAGTGGAACAGGCGCACGCACTCGCCGCCCGTGGTAACCAGGTGCTCGGGCGCGCCCGCGGTCACGGACGCCGCGTCCGCAGACGCGAGCAGCAGCGCGGCGGGCAGCAGCGACGACAAGGCGGGGAGGCGCATTGCGGCTGATCCCAAGTTTTGAGTGCAGGAATGCGGAAACTGGCTGAAACCTAGGCTTTCGACTAGGGTATGCTTTAGACAAGGTCCTCTGGAATGTTATCCGTTTTTATCGGTATCTACCGGTGATGTGATACAAAAGTGAAAGGCTTAGACCTGACAGTATCTTTTTTATAGTCTGGACTATAATAGGGCACATTAGCCGAAATGGCGCGGCGCGAGCTGAATGTGCGCGAGCTGCTGGAGCTGGAGCGCCAGATCTACCAGGAGAGCATCGACCGCGTGCTTCAGCAACAGGAGCAGCTGCATTCCGGCGAGCACGAGGGCTTTGTGCGCCGCTGCAGGCCGTTCGAGGCCGACCGGGAGCGCGAGCTGCAGGTGGCGCAGGCCCAGTACCAGTTCTCGCTCAGTGACGCGTTGAGTTTGCGGGACTTCGACCTGCAGCAGGCCGACGACGTGTTCCGCGCTGAGCGGCTGCAACTTAAGCGGAAGCTGCTGGAGAGGGTGCGGCGACGGCGACTGAGGGTCGAGAAGCGGCTGAAGGCGCTGGACGAGAAGCCCACCAACGTCACCAGCAACTCAAAGAGGACAAAAGTTGGAGCTATTGTTGCTGCGTCCAGGCTGGAGGGACAGCTGCAGCCACAGGAGCTGGAGACGCAGCTACGACGAGCGCAGCGGCGCACCAGGAAGAGCTTCAACTTCCGACATTTGGCCGGTGGAGTGCTGCCCACGCCGCAGCGGATTGTGGAGGATGTCGTGAAGGAATGTCAAAAGTTGCAGCGCAATCGAGAGCAGCAAGAAGCGGCGACAATGGCGGCGGAGGAAGGGGCAGCAACGCAAATGCAGGTGGCAGTTGGTGAAGATGGACAGAAGATCGTGTGTCGAGGTGGAAATGGACAAGAGACGTTCGCTGTGGGGGACGCAGTGGTGCTCATCTCGCAGTTAACGGAGGAGGATTTCCACGGATTCGTGTCGGTTATCACGCCTGAAGAGGTGAAACTGGTGCTGGTGTGTGGGTCCCACGTACGTGTGACGCTTACTCGGCTACGCAGTGGACAGTGTACGCTTGAGAGGCAGGCAATTGGAAAACCGGAAAAGAGGCGAGGAGATATTTATGCGAATGGATCGACGCCAGGCGCTACTAGCCTGGAAGCGCTGATACGTGATCCCCCAGACGTCCGTCGCCGTGCCGCCGCCGTTATGAGTACTTATCCTATTCAAGTGTGTTTAGTTGCAAGCTGGAAGCTAATATTTTGTTGCGTTTGCATGCTCAGACCGACTCAAGCGAAAGACAACGATCGATATTCGACGTGGCTTCTGAAAATCGTGTTTAAGAGCCTTATCTGCGTGCCATTAAGGGATCGCTCGTCAGATAGCAAGATAGCACTACTGTCCCTCTTCTTCGCGTTGAATCACCTCATCGATGACACTGCCCAGCTCCCCCAGGTTGACAGCGATCACGTTGTTCGCCTCGGCTTCAAGCCTCCGTCACATCGGCGACATCAGGATGTTGAGCGCCGCCAAGGATGCCTTCTGCTTGTCGGGGGTGCCGCCGACATGGACGAGGATCTCGTGGATGATCCTCCCTGCTGCCACGTTGTATAGAACAATATTCAAAAATATTAATTAATTCTAATAAAATTATCAAAAATCACTCAAAATCATTATGCCCGTCATGTTTGTCCAGCCACTCACGAAACTCCGCACGAGTTATCGACTCGAAAACAACCACAGGCCGGCATTTTTCAGCGTCGTCCTCGTTGCTGACAGCCCGAAGGTTCTCAGGGTTCCCCACGCGGCACCTCTCCAACGCTGATCGTCGAAGTCGCAACGCCTCCACCTTCTCCATCCACCGCAACAAGCGACGCGGCACTCACAGCGATGGACCGGACGGCTCTGGAATGCTCAGCCAACAGCGCGGGTATCGCCGCCACACCATGGAACAGGGCCCGAAGCGGGAACGAAACGAACTCCCCCTGGCCAGCAACGAAGTCCATCTCGATGGTATCAGCGTTGCGCTGCATGAGGATGATGCGGCGACGAGTCCTGTATACCTTGACGCCGATCGCCACTTGGACTGCGGTGCTGGAACTCATTCAGCGCTTCAACTTGAGGACCAGGCCGTCCCACGACTAAGTATCAATCAGTCCAATGCTTGGCTTGACATTTCAATCAGTCGAATACTCTCGCTTGATTACGATAAGAAGCATCCGTCTCCGACGTATCTACGCGAAATCCCTCACCACCGGAAAGATAAAGCGTAGAGACGTGGGAAGTCAAGGACAACAATGCTTCGGAGGGCAATAAGTTTGCAACTGTGTTACTAGTAATTGAACAGCTTGAGCAAGTACTGTATGCTTTTCGACTTTGACCTGTCTTCCGTCCACGGGGGCCAAGCTCGCCCTCATGAAGCGCCGATGTATCAGTCACTCATTTCGGCGGCGACAAGACTGTTGCTATCCTATAGAACCGTCTTAGCTCGAGGCCGTCTGCTTGCGCTTGTAGTCCGAGATGGCGGCCTTGATGGCGTCCTCGGCCAGCATGCTGCAGTGCAGCTTGACGGGCGGCAGCTTTAGGTGCGCCGCGATGTCCGTGTTCTTGATCTTGAGGCACTCGTCCACGCTCCTGCCCTTGAGCCACTCGGTGGCCACGGACGAGGACGCGATGGCCGAACCGCAGCCGAACGTCTTGAACTTCGAGTCCACGATGGTGCCGTGCTCGTCCACCTGGATCTGCAGCTTCATGACGTCGCCGCAGGCGGGCGCGCCCACGAGGCCCGTGCCCACGTCCTTGGCGCTCTTGTCCATGGCGCCCACGTTGCGCGGGTTCTCGTAGTGGTCGATGACGTTCTCGTGGTACAGGCGCGTCTGCTGCACGAAGGCGGGGGACGTGCCGTTGCGCGCGGCGGCGGAGAAGCGCTTGAGGGCCGAGCGAGCGAGCATCGTGGGGCTGTTGAAGGCTGAAAGCGGAGTGACCTCCTGGAGCGGCACCACTACACTGTTGGGCTGTTTCGTGCACCAGTTTCGGTAGGGTTATTCAAGAGTTTTAATCGTACTTAGCAGAGAAACGTAATGTTTGTCTCTATGGGCTATCCCCCGGTTCGCTACGTAGCTGGAGATGGAGACGAAAACCAAAAGTGTGACCGGATTGGTCAAAAGTAGGTAGCACACAACAAGACAACTAGAGATGGCACTGTGAATTCGTCTCCAGCTCTTTGAGGTGGAGAGGGGCGGATCTACCTAGAGATTTACAGGGCCAGGCACAACATGGGAGACGAAGATGCAATTGTCCTCGCTGTGGCTTTGTATGCAGACAGTTGTGAACCAGGATCTCCTGCTGGCAAGAAGAACTGTTTTACCGTCACCACTCTGCGCTTCGAGTCGATGCTTCAATCATCAGCCTATTCAAGCTGGTTCGAGACCAATCTGCGCTGTACGAGATCCACCTTCTTCCGTATAGCTAGCTTTCTACAAGAGCATGGGGTCGCTTTTGCGCAAGCTAAGGTCAAGAAGCATTCCTACGAAAAGAAGGTGGCAGCGGCGCTGTATTTCCTGGGCTCAGCGGGTGGATATCGCGAGGTGGGAGCTGCAATGGGCATGGCTAGAAGCTACGTCATGGAGATCACTACGGAGGTAGACGTTAGAAGCTCCTTTCAGACGAGACTTGCCTCGGCCCTGTGCTGCTTGCGGTGCGGCCGAGGCTTGCAGACGCTCGAGCATGCGAGATGGAGCGGGAGTAGGCTCTGGCGTAGCAGACATCGCCACTGATACTTGAGGTAGCGGAACAAATGTGGACGCAGTCTCGGCGCCTTCTAGCAGCAGACCTTCATCACCGGCAAATGGTGTCAGCGAGACGAGGGGCTCGGACGCTGGCGTTTCGTCATGACGTGCGGGGGGCGCAGGAACCGAAGAGCCTTGAGCAGCGGCATGTGCCGCACGCGTGGCCGCACTGGTGAGGAGTCGGCATTTTCTCAAGTGGGGAGGAGAGCCATACCATATCTGTCCTGTGATTGGCTTAAAATTTGTCTGGAGATGGATACATAGCGAACGAGCTGTAGGTGGAGATCAAGCACCATCTCCATCTCAAGTACAACGCGAACAGGCTCTAATAAAGGGCTGATGAATTTGCACGAAAGTACTTTCGTGCACTTTCGAGCACTGCACGAAACAGCCCTAGACACCACGTCCGACCGTTGGTGTGGCGCACACATTATTCCGAGGACTGGCCAATGGGAAGAGAGCGATCAGATGGCGAGCTTCAACTGCTTCAACTTTGGCCTGGTTTAACAGGGCTCCACCGAAAGCAGGCCCTGCTGTCGGACGCATGCTCAGCAATGGTTGTACCTATAGCTGAGCTCGCAGCAATTAATAGTGTAAGAGCCACGAAGCAGGTGGTCTCTTGTGATTGCAAGGTGAGCTGCTGGTCAAGTCGCAAGTCGCTCTCGGTGCGTGAGGACGATTAAGTGCTGGAAATGGTACTGGTACGATCGGCAATGCGGTGCACTTGCAGAGCTCCGTAAGACCACATAACGTACTCTACAATACATGGACTAGAAAATCGCCACGTTAACTTACTGTAGCATTCAATTTCTGCTTGGAGGGCAACTCTAACCGTCAAAACTTCAGAAATGGAATGGACGGTACGTACCGGAAACCTCAGATTCCGTGGTGCTCTCAACTTTAGAGACCAAAAGCATATTAGAGCACGAACTCCCAGCTTGCGCGTATGTTCCACCTGCCAGGCGCATGCGGATAAGGCGTATGGCTGGATTGCAGCCATGCGAATGGAGTCTAGCCTTGGACAGCCTGGACACCCTATACATGTAAACCGTTCTCGCATAAAATGCCAAGTACGTATCACGATTGGGTGTTATGCGCTAGCTTTTACTTTGTGTGAAGCAAGCTGTCGAGTATCCTACATGAACACTGCCAATTTATCCGGCAAATTTTCAACTCAAAGATGAGTTTTCATCGAAGCACGTATGTATCCTATAGGCAAAACCGCTTCATTCATAAGCTACATGTAGCTTGGTCGCCACTGCGCATTCCTTTTCGTATTCTTGCTCCGCTCCGTAGGCGACATTAAAACGGGCAAGTCGAGGCGGGTCCGTGTCTGCAGCGCCCTCCGTACATGGCTCCACATATCAGGACACGTGCCAGTTGACGTGCACCTCCGCCAAGACTGAAGCAGTTCCGCGCGTCCAGCAATACTGAAGTTCGTGGGCATTGGCACACCGCAATGAGTGCAGCTTCTACACCCGTTGAAGTCCTTCCTGCTTGGATTTCTCTCCACCTTCTCACCGTGGTGCGGTGCCTCAGTGGTTCAGCCACACCGTACGTCGAGCAAGGCAGGGCTCGTTCATCACATCGAACGGCAGCGGCGGACTGCAAGGCGCCCAACAGTTTGGCGAGTCAAAGGCGTGACTCAAAGGCAAAGTTGCACCGAATCACGAAGGGCGGCACAATACAAAAGTCCCGCTCGTTTAATCAAATCGGATAGGTCGGGTGTATCAGATATAGCAATTTTGTTTCAACAGTAAGCCACTAACATTCCTTCCCAATACAATTTTATGTACCCAAATGATTTCAACAGGGCTTAAGATTATAGACGTTTCCGATATACCGGCTGGCGCTCTTTCTGGTTTCAGTCGCACGTCGAGCCGCTCGACTCGAGCGTGGCCCACATGGCAGGTCACGTGCATGGCGTCCACCGAGGAGCTCACGAACAATGCGCCAGTTGGCAACTTTGGGCGGAGACTCCCCACTCCATTCTACGCACGCCCTCGTCGAGGCGAGAGACAGGAAAGTCCGCGGGAAGAGCGAAAAGGCCTGCCAGCAGCACAACGTCAAGAGCTGCGAAGCCGCTTTGTAGCTCGCCTTCATCTCTCTGGTCTGAGCCTCCTTGGCTGGTCTTGGCAGTCGAGAACATTCGTCCGTGGGCAGGAAGCGAGCAGTGTTGCGGATGTGCGTGTACTTGGCGCCGCGATGGCGGCGACGGTCGCTGCTGGCGACGCTGATGTTGGCACTTACGTTGCTGCTGACGGCGGACGCCGCCCGGGCGCTGCGTACTAGCAGTGTCGAGACGCAGCATCAAGCAGGGAGCACTACAGGCTCCGGGTCCGCTGCAGTGAACGAGGTCCAGGTCGGTGATGTGGACGCGGGAGTCGTCACGACGGACACGACGCAGAGCAGCACCACGTTCACCAAGAAGACGTGGGGTGCAGGCAGCCACAGCGACGCCAGCAAAAAGTCCGTCTCCTTTTCCAGTTTGGTGCAGACAACGGCGACCGTGGCTCCGTCTGGAGAGCGGAGTATCGAGGAGCCCAAGTCGGCGTCGGGCTCGATGGACAACGAAGTCGGAACACCGAGCGCGACCACCAAAGCCAAGGGCACGACGAGTGCCAAGCAGGACGATGATGACAGCGATGAATCATTTGACCTCCAGTCAGATGACGACAGTGCCGATAGCGGCTCGGACAGCGAGAACCACGACAAGACTACCGGCAAGACAGGTACCAGCAACAAGTCGACACCGGCGCCAACGCCGACACCAACCCCAACGCCGACTTCAGCCTCACAGCAGACGACGTACCCTCCTCAACCTACGCATCCTGGGTCTATTGACGCCAAGACGCTCTCCTGGTCAGAGCCGACGATGTACCCCCAGACTACCCAACCGGTGTCTAACGTTATTGCCACCACCACGCCGTCGACAGGGTCCTCCGCCTCTGGCAGTGCGAGTGGGCAACCCGTACAGGGTCAGTCGTACCAGGTATCAGGCTCTGCCAAGAGCGCCGAGGCCTTCGAGAAGAGCACCAAATCGGCTGCGTCGACGACTGACAGCAGGTCTTTGGACGAGACGCTGGTGGTCGTCATCGTCGGTGTCGTCGGTGCAATCGGCGCGTTGCTGATGTTCGTGTCTCGCAAGGTCTTGCAGGAAACCGGAGACGACGAGGACATGGCGGACTCCAGCTTCTTCTAAGCAAGGGTGGAGGCCCTATCTGTAAAAAGTTTTACTGCGTCGGTAGTGTGATTTAAACGGAGGTAGGAGCAAGCTACTGCAGCCTCGCCGCCAAGCACTAGGCAACCAAAGCGCAATGCAGCAGAGGGAGCAACAAGAAGCTATACATCAATATAGACATAACGCACGCGCCCACGAGCGCGGTTTTCTCTTGTTGATCTGCTCGGCCTCAACACCTCTACCAGATCCTAAAAGGCTTGAGCGGAGCCCATTCTTCCTCCCTAACTGATCTACGCCGTCTTGGCCTTGGTCTTGGAGTACGCGCGGTTGCGCTGCGTGAGCATGTGGCCGTACATGACGGGGAGGCCGGGGATGTACACGAGCAGCACGAGGATGACCACCACGTAGAGCGAGATGGAGATGTTGTGCGTGTTGGGCAGCTGGATGGCGTACGCGCCCGTGGACAGGAAGCTCAGGCTGCTCACCATGCACAACACCTCGCCTATAGAAACACATCACAACATTGCACAGCGTAACGTACTTGCATAGCACAGCATAGCAACGGCAAATAGCCAGCCACGGTGGACAGACGCACGTACCGAGAACGCCCGACGGGTAGAGCACCATGAAGAGGTGGTAGCGCAGGAAGAAGAGGAAGCCGGGCACCGCATTGTACAGGTTGAGCGCGTAGAACGAGTAGCGCGGCACCTCCACGAGCCCCCAGCTGGCCACCATGAGCGGGAAGCCGAACTGGTAGCGCGACACGGGGCACAGCACGTTGATGGCCCACACGAGCCATAGGCGCGAGCTCACCTGCATGAGCGTGGAGCCCAGCGGCGAGCGCACGAAGCCCACGGCGGCGTGCACGATCTCCATCACGGCCATGGTCTGCACCACCTTGAGGGGCAGCGACACCACGTCCCACGTGCTCTGGGCCACCTGACTCCAGTCCTGGCCAGCCTCATGCGCCTGCAGCACCGTGGTTACGGTCAGGTACAGCACGTAGGCCCAGCCGGCGCACGAGGCGCCGTTGAAGGCCAGCAGGTACAGGTTGAGCAGCGCGTTCTTGGCCATCGTCGCGAATGATACACTGACGATGACGCAGGCCAAGATCTGCGGCTGACACGCATGGACCGGTATGTGGTGTGCGTCACACTATTCTGCATCAGCCTCGTTTGATTGGCCACGGAAGGGTGCCGGTAACTAACTGGCATACTTTACGCAGGATACTTGACCTGGTTACCGATCTTCGACCGCGACGGTATTGACGTTGACGCAATGGCTTCAGAGCATCCAAGGATCATGCAAGACACCACAGTATATTCATGCAGCTCTTGGTGTGAGGTGCTCGTTCACTTGCAGGCAACCAATTGCCTGCAAGATCCCGAGCCTAGCAAGCCGCAGCATCTGAACGCAGCGTATCTAGCGCGGAACCGAGCTTGGGCTTGCTCTACTGTCCGCCATCAGGAGTGGCAACGCAAACGGTAGCGATCTAGTTCTCGCCGAGGGCCGTGTGGATCTGGGCCGTGACCTGGCTCATGTCCGTGTGGGCGTTGACGTCCGCCAGCTTACCCTGCTTGCGGTAGAAGTCGATCACAGGCTGGGTCTGCTTGTGGAAGGCCTGGAGACGCGAGCCGAGCGTGGCCTCGTTGTCGTCCTTGCGCTGGATCAGGGGCTCGCCCGTGATGTCGTCCTTGCCGGCCACCTTAGGCGGGGCGAACTTGACGTGGTAGCTGCGGCCGCTGGCCGGGTGCACGCGGCGGCCGGCAATGCGCTCCACCAGCACCTCGTCCGGCACGTTGAAGTTGATGACGGCGTCCACCGACGTGTTCACCTCGGCGAGCATCTCGTCCAGCTGCATATCAAAGGAGCAAGAGGAGCAAAGCGTCAGTCCACTGGTGTCTGCCCCGTTATTGCGAAGCTTGTCTCATTGCGCACCTTCTTGGCCTGCACGACCGTGCGCGGGAAGCCGTCAAGGATGAAGCCGCGACGACACTCGGGGCTCTTGATGGCGTCCTTGATGATGCCGACCACGATCTCGTCGGTCACGAGGGCGCCCGACTCCATGGCGGCCTTGGCCTTCTTGCCCATCTCGGTGCCGGCGGCCACGGCGGCGCGCAGGATGTCACCGGTGGCCAGGTGGCACAGGCAGTACTCGTCCTTCACCAGGGGTGACTGCGTGCCCTTGCCGCAGCCAGGGGGTCCTGTAACAGAACAAAAGGCGGCGCGTCGGTGCCGAGTCCACAAGATCCGCTCGCTGTTTAACGCGGTATTGCTGCGGTTATGCCGTACCGATGAAGATGGTGCGGCGCTCCTTCTTGCTGGCGCACTCAATGCGCTTCTGCAGCTCCGCGAGCAGCGAGGCGGTGGGGACGCCGGCGAGGGTCATGATGGCACAAGGAGAGGACGGTCGACACTAACGGGGAGGAATCGGAACTGACGGCACAGCGGCCACGTCGATTCGGTTTTGTACCGGTTTTGAGTAGTAGCTTCGATTAAGTGCGACTAAGATCTCCCGTAATTACGCGTGTTTTTTACATGTTGAAGTTGACCATCACTCCGCTATACTTGCGGTTTGTAAAGTGAAGACGTGTGAATGCTCACTGCCTGCAACGACATGCTGCGCCTTCAACTATTAGCGGCACTGGCTCGAGGCAGCCTTACTTCTTCTCCTTGCCGAGGCGCGCGTCGCGCTGCGTGGTCAGCTCCTCCACCCAGGACTGGACCAGCGGCGTGCGGAACTTGCCCTTGGTGCTCTGGAAGAAGTCGTCCAGAGGGACGTTGTGGGCTGCAAGCGTCAGTCGCACAAACCAGAGTGAGCTACATCGACTAACAAGTAACATGGTGTTGGAGATGCTTCGTAGCAGGTCACGCACCTCGCTCGTAGTCGTCCGCTTGGAGGATCATCTCGAACTTGTCGAAGTCCTGCAGAGCAGCCGTTCATCGGTATGTTAGCAAGCTGCAAGAGCGATGGACCTGCTCTATAAGACAAGGTGTACCTTGACGATCTTGGCCTCCTCGGTGGATCCAGCCTCGTACTCGTTCCAGAGCGATCGGATCTCAGCGGCGGACGGGGTGTCCCCCAAAGTGTTGCAGATCTCGTCCAGCGCCTCCTGTATCACCAAAGTATAAGAGATCGAAGCAAACACACCGTCAGCCAAACCGTTTTCCAAGATTGCATATCACTACAAACCACTACAACATACCTTTTCCATGCGGTGCTTGTCCTCCTCGGCGACTCCTGCTCGGTAGCAACACAGGGCGTATCAAACCCAGATCCATCGTCCACCCCAATAACCGCAGCGACCTACCGTCGTGAGGTGTGATGTCACCCACCAGCGACTCCGCCAAGTCGTGCACAATGGCCATCTTAATGCACCTAACAACCGTAACACAAGCCAAACAACTTAGCACTGCCGCCTCCTCCTTACTATGCAAACGAATGGCCAGGGATGAACGACAGTCTCCGATCACGTACTTGGGGCGGTTCACGGTCTCATTGGCGTCGTCCAGCAGCATGCAGCACATGCTCATGCGGTACATGTGGTCGGCCACAGACTCGGGCAGCGCCACCTTGTTGTTCACCCATCCAGTGCGCTTGAGCGTCTGCCAGCAAAGACAAATACGGGTTAACGTTAGCGTTGCTAGACCTCGAACACCCGCCGCCACAGAATTTTCCAGAGCGGTTCCTTCACGCAGCAGATACAAGAGACATAAAGCTATACAGAGACACATTCAACGCACTTTGAGGCGGCCGCATAGTCGCAAGAACTCGATGGCGCTCAGCGCCTTCGCTCCCGTCGCCATGCTACTTCTCTGCCATGAAAGTATAGTTAGTTAGGTTTTTTGTGTACCACACAACGAATGTCGTTAGTCATTTGACGTTGGTTAGGGCTACAATTGGTTTTTGTCCAATAATAGCACACTTGATTAGAAAAACCTCGTTGATTTTGAAGCGAGATTTCTCGCTTATCAGGCCTTTCGAGGCCTTATCATGAAGCTTAGAGGCAGGCGCTAACGCCTGATTTTTGCTGCCCATTATCTGTGAGAACTGAAGGAGGCACAACGCTTTTTCTGCCAGCAATTTTAGTCCTCCGTAGTTTTTTTTCGTAATTCTATCAAAAATTAGCGATAATTCATCGAAATTTCAGGATGCAGATGTCGGGTCTCCCGCTGCAGGTAGCGAATCGAGGATTGATGTCATGAGTGTCTTCCATCTTGTCTTGTCCAGTGCTAGTTGTCGAAGTTCGTCAAGATCGCGCGCGCAGCGCAGCGCAGTCGGTGTCCGGACTGGGTGTCATTTATAGAGGTGTGACTCCGTCCTTTTTTCTAACCGTAATTTACCGACGAGCACTGCTCTGCACCTTCCTGACCCCCAGCTGCTGAAAACGTCGACACCACTGCTAAGTACAGTAGCACCAGGTGCGAAAGAGGTCTCATCCACAACTCCGAGCACCGCACACAGCAACAATGGGATCACGTACACTCCACGACAAAAAGATATGGACACCTCCAAAAGTGGCTGTAACTTCGTCATTTTTTATCGTTTTAAAGTGCGGTTTGGACTAGAGTTGCAGAACACGCTGGTAAAGATCTGCACGCTGCTAACACGCGCGCTTTTGCGCTTCATCAGGTAGCTCACATACAAATCACTGGTTCTGCCCAGGTGACAAAACTTATGGACAGCTAATCCCCATACAAAATCCTATATTAACCAAAACCCCTTACAAATGATACGAACTTGGACTTTGTATGGGGAGACAAAGCAACCCATGATTTCTCCACTCTACCTGGATCAGCTGTCCATAAGTTTTGTCACCTGGGCAGAACCAGTGATTTGTATGTGAGCTACCTGATGAAGCGCAAAAGCGCGCGTGTTAGCAGCGTGCAGATCTTTACCAGCGTGTTCTGCAACTCTAGTCCAAACCGCACCTTAAAACGATAAAAAATGACAAAGTTACAGCCACTTTTGGTGGTGTCCATATCTTTTTGTCGTGGAGGGGGATAGCTTAGAGCCAGCATCATTTTTAGTCAGACCATCAGTTTAATACATTCGGTACTTTTTAATATGAACTAGAGTATCCAAAATATCATGGTATTACCGGTATAAAGCAGCGAAGCGCGATCGATGATTTTAACGGGGTTGGAATAAAACTTAAGCAAAAAATGCGCGGTTTAATTCACACGCAACATACTGTGCGAACTTCGGCGCTGTGCGACGTTGGCTAAACGGAGTGCGCACGGCGCGACAGTAGTGTATGTAGTGTTCTGGACGTCGCATCATATTGAGCTGCAGTAGGTACAGAAGAAACATTCATTGATAGACGGACAAGCCACCTTCGTGGCCATTCTGGTGCACTTTAACCCTAAATGTGCCCGATTAGATGGGCGTGATGTTTGCTGCAGCAAGAACCTAACTAGAGCAATATGAACGCATAACAAAGCGAAATTAGCTTCATAACTGCGGTGACGTGTAAACTGCTCGTTCGTAAATAGAGATATCTTAACAGGTGCGGTTCGCGAAAAAGTCTCGTTGGATGACATCATACTGAGTTGCAACAACTCACGCACCATGGAGTAGACCTTGACAGTTTTTCTTCCTGGTCGTGGGGCGAGCAGAAAAAAGTTAATAACAGAAATAGCGATAACAACATCAGTAGCAAAGCTATTATTTAATAGCGGTTGCAGTAGCGGTGGCATTGACAGTAGGGCAGTTGCAGTGGTAGCGGGCAGTGATCTTGACGCAGGCGAACAATTCCAATAGCATTTTACTGAATAAGAAATATTAATACTTCGTATTGATATTACTTACGCAGCAATGCAAGTCACATATACTATTTAGAAAAAAAGAGAGTGATATACAAAGCCTAGACGACCGATAAGAAGTTAAGATCATCGGTAATGCTTGTGGGGACGGCGATGTTCAGACGGCATCTACTTGTAAATTTAGCTTGCGCCAGCCATGAGATGGCCAGCGATATTATGCAGCAATATATAATAGAAACATGAAGTGGATTTTGGCAGTCTTTCTCCGGCGTGAAGAAGAAAGCAGGGGAAATATCATTGAAATGTCATTATCATAGCTGATATCGTAGTTGTAGCGCAAATAACAGCGGTAACGGCAGTGCCAGCAGTGGCAGCAGATAATAAACAGTCGCAGTAGCGATAGCAGGAGATATGAACTAGCAACTTCAATGACAGCATTACTATGATATCATTAACAATAGTGAAATAGTAGTTTTAGTTGCTGTAGTTGCAGTAGGGATAAACAGTACTTAGTAACAGTGACCAGTAGTAACGCCCGCCACAGTTAGCAATATCAAAAGCAATTTCTTTAACAATAGTGGAATTTCAGTAGTATAGCAATAGAAGTAGTAATGGGGTAGCAGTAGCAGTAGCAGTAGTAGTAACAGTGGCAGTGTCCAGTAGCAGTGACAGTAGCAGCCGCAGTAGCTGGCAGTGGCGGCGACAGTGGCAGTTGCAATCAATACCAATAGCAACATGATGTTGTTGTCAACATCAATTATAACCGTGTTTGAGACCAACCGCCGGATATGCTCTTATAGCATCTCTAGTATGAGAATTAAAATATCTAGTGCAGTCATATGAAGCGTTACAGGCATAGTACTCACCAAAATAGTGGTGATAATGGTAATAACAATAACAAGTGCAGACAGCAGATATCTGCTGAGGCGCAGTGTGTCCTAGCCGTAAAAAACGCAAAATTGTTCGGGGCGTTTGCCTCCGCTTAGAGAGTTCATTCGAAAGAAAATCATGCCCAGGTTTTCTTACCGCAATGGATAGTTCACCCTCACCGCCATTTCTACGACACCATTATTGTGATTGGCTGAAAGCCCGTGTGGGTCTAGGTAGCGAATTCCCTCCCTCCCTTTCCTCATTCCAGAATCGGCCGCCTCGAGAAAAGATGGTGAAGCTGTTCTGTGCGATCGGTGGCGTGGCGGGCAGCGCCTTCTCGGTGCGTGTGGACGAGAGTGACTCGGTGGATGACTTGAAGGACGCGATCAAGGCGAAGAAGCCAAACAAGTTGAAGGACATCGATGCAGGTGACCTGCAGCTCTTCCTGGCGAAGAGGGAGGACGGCGCGTGGCTGAAGTCGAAGGATCTGCTCCGGATGCGGAAGGGGGAGATCCCCGATGAAGTTGAGAGTCACTACATGAAGGAGGAATTGGACGATCCAACGGACAAGATCTGCGAGAGGTTTCCCACAGTCTCCGACGGAACGATTCACGTGCTGGTGATGCTTCCGGAGCAAGAACACGCACAAACTGAATTGTGGCTTGTCACTGGATCCGTTGGCAACGCGCTGAACACGAAAGGGATTCGCTGCAGGCTGTACCGACTGGCGGGGTCATGCCTTGGATACTACGATCCCAACCTTCGTGCTGGCGAAACCGACAAGGCGCTGTGGTATGATGAGGTGATGTTGCGGATCCATGTTCTTTTCAAAGAAGGTATGCATTTTGGTTATTGTAGAACTGTGCTGGTTGATGTCTCACAGATGTTGTACAGAGAGGGATGCTTTGCTATTTGAAAACGAACTGCAGACCGAAGGTATCAAGCAAACTTCCCCACTCGATGGCCACACGATCTCGACGACTGTGGCCCCAGTTTCTCGGGAGTTAAGCGAACTGCGACGCATCTTTGCCATGCATTATGTTCCAGATGATACCGAGTCCCCTCAAGTCTCAATGACGACTTTCTCGTCCAACACCTCGATCGTTGACGTAGCGACTGACGAATTTAAGTACCAGCGTATCGAGAGTGAAGAGTGGTTCGGGTCGGTGGGGAAGGCACAGAGCTGCCATGTGATGTCCAGAGAGCATTGCCTGAAATATCCAAGCTACAAGAAGTATGACAACGACCCAAGCAATCGTCTTGCTCTTTCTGCAGAAATGCACGAGTGGTTTGATGCTCGGTCCTATGCGGTGCCGACGATGAAAATTTCCGTCGAGTCCACATCTGAAGGATTTGTAATCGGCAACAGATACAAGGTACGAGTAGTTTGAGTACGTGCTGAATACTACTTGTTCTAACATTATTTACGATGCCATAGGTCGATTTGGTTGTGCGCGCGTGGAATGCTGGATTCGCAAGACTTCTCTCGCTGCGTTTGAAAGAAGGCTTTGCTGTGTCGGATGATGGCTTGGAGATGCGAACATCCATCTACGTACAGAACAAGAAGGTGTTTTGCGACTGCATGGAGTGGAAGCGCAAAGAGATAGAGAAGAAGTGGAGAGAGCACGAGGATATGGCACCTGCTGTGGATTGACTGCACCACGCGTAAGATCCTATTGACTTCAATTTCAATTTGCTTTTCATCCTAATAAATATAAAGTTACTAATATACAACGATGGCGGACCAACTAGCCGAGCGCCGCCGCTACGCGTTACGTTAATGTTTTCGACCAATCGCAGGTGTTGGCGCCACCATTTTTGGACCATTTCGAACGAAAATGTGGCCGCGCCGGCAGCCGGCGCAGGCAGCTCCTGGTGGGGCTTCAAGCGCTGCAACCTCAGCTCCAGCAGATCGTCCATTGTCCTCTCGAGCACCACCATCTTCTGCGTCTTCAGGCACATCTGCACCTCTTTTTGCGCCTCGTAGGAGCGCCGGGAAGGCCCCAAACCCCACTGTCAAAGCTCAAAAGACCTCTAGTTCAGGCACAGACGACGCTGCGTGGCTGCTACGGGCTCTAGACAAGAAGAAAAAGAAGAAAGTCTAACCTGATGCAAGCAAGAAGGTCACTAAGCCCTCAGAGCCCGAAAAAGCGGCGAAAAAGACGCAGCCGAAGCCGAAAAATGAGCGAAAAGGAGGTCCACTAGGCCTCTCCATGTCTGTACAGGAGCGCCAGCAATTGTGGCGCAGTGGAGCAGCTAAGAAGCCTGAAGATGAAGCAGCGGAACGGGCCAAGCAGCAGGAGAGAGAACGTCAAGAGACGGGCTTTGATCGTGTCTTCCAGGAGGTCTTCGGGGAGCAGCAGAAGGACAAGAAAGGAGGCGACGAGGAGGAGCTCAACAGTGTTTTATCCAGTGGAGATACAGGCGCCAATGCGTCGTCTTTAGGGCTGTCGGTGGTTGATGCAGAGACAGATAAAGACAAGGAGGTGACGAAGGTGTCGGGCAAACGTAAGGCTGCTCTGAGTGATGACGAGAAAGAAGAGGAGGCGTGGGGCTTCGCGACGGCTGGGAACAGTGGGTTCACTCTCGATGACTTCGACGCTCCATCTGACAGCAACGACGCGGGTTCCGGTGATGTGGGTGATGCTCGGAAGGCTGCGGAGTTTGAGCGCTGGAAGGCCGAGGACGCCCAAAGTGCGGTGAGCGACAACTTCGTCAAGCTGAACATGCGTAAGAGATTCAAGGGCAGCTCTGGGCGCGCCAAGAAGCGACCGGCGTATCTGCGCGCACGTAATGAGAACCTGCTGGACGAAGCTACAGGTGAGAAATCTTCAGGCCTCGCTCCGGTGGTCAATGCGAACGGTACTCAACAGAGTAAGAAGGAGAAGTCGATGCTGGCTGACGACGGCGTGGACTTCACCGAGGAGTGTCTGGAAGCGCTGGCCAAAGCCGAGAAAGCGCGTGGTCTCTCTAGTCAAGAAAAATCGAAACCGAAGAAGGAGGCCGAGCCATTGACACCGCCGAGGTGTCATCATGCGTTGGTCTGTCAGAACTTGGAGGTCAAGAAGAAGAACAAGAACCACGGCCGCAAGTTCTTCGCCTGCCCGCTGGGATTCGATGAAGGTCGCTGCGACTTCTTCCTCTGGGAAGACGACCACGTCCCGCTTGCACTGCAGACACTCTTCACGGCTTCTTCTTCCTCTGACGGTGTTGCTGAGTCCGCAGCTGAAGCTGAAGCCATTGAGTGCGTTCCTCTGGATATTGAAGCTACTGAAGAGGAGCAACGTGAGGCGATGCTCACCAATCTGCTTCTGGTGTTTGGGCACGCCGACTTTCGTCCTGGCCAGCAGTGGGCGATCTCAAGGGTGCTGCGTCGTAAGGACACTCTCCTTGTGTTGCCCACGGGTGCAGGCAAGTCGCTGTGCTATCAATTCCCAGCGCTCTTCTTGCCTGGAATTACGCTCGTGATCTCGCCGCTTATCTCGCTGATGAACGACCAGTACGAGAGTCTCCCCGCCCCATTGAAGGCTCGCTCCTTGTGTCTTTCCGGCTCCGGCTCGGATTCAGGCTCGTCCAAGGCGAAGCATGCGGCTTTTGTGCGTGATCTGCTGGCGGACAAACTCTCTCTGATCTTCCTGTCGCCGGAGAAGGCGCTGGATGCTGGAATGCAAGCGCTGCTCGCGTTATCGCGGGTCCGTGCGCGCTTGGCACTAGTGTGTGTCGACGAAGCGCATTGCGTCTCAGAGTGGTCCCACCACTTCCGTCCAAGCTACTTGCGGCTGGCAGAGGTCTTCCGCCACACCCAGTGCGTTTTGTGTGTGACTGCCACAGCCTCGCGACGTGTTGTCCACGATGTATTGCATCAATTGCGCTCACGTCGGCAGCTTCAGAATCAAGGTGGCGAGAGCGAGAGCGACATGGTGCTGCAGATGCCATGGCAAAGGAAGAATCTGGCGCTGGAAGTTCGTTCCGTCCGGTCGAATGATGAGCGACTGCGGCATCTCGTCCACATCCTCCCCGAGTTGAGCAAAGGATCAACACAGTCCTCCAAGGCTGGCGGTGGAGGTGTTATCGTGTACGTTCACCAGCAACGGCAGACGGAGGAACTTGCAGCTCTGCTGCGTGAACAATTGCCCAACGCTTGGCGCACTGCTGGAAAGGTGGTGGCGTTTCATGCTGGCATGGCGCCTGAGGCGAAGGAAAAGGTCCGCACAGGTTTTGCGCGAGGCAGAGTGCGCGTTGTGGTGGCTACTATCGCATTTGGTATGGGCATTGACAAGAAGAATGTGCGGGCTGTTGTGCACTTCCACATGCCGTCGTCTGTCGAGGGATACGTGCAGCAGATTGGACGAGCAGGTCGTGACGGCAAGTCTGCGCGAGCGTTGCTGTATCTGCTGAATGAAGACGCGGTGCACTTCCGCTCGTTACTGTTTTCAACCGCATTACATCGCGACCAGCTTCGGAGGCTTATGGCTCTTGTCTTCCAGAGTCGGGAGAGCTTATCCCCAGCGAGCAAGAAGCATGTAGTGGCTGTGAAGTGCTCGGGAAGAGGTCAGAGAGCTGGCAGTGACCTGACGCTGGAGTCTCTCGAGCGAGATTGGCTGGAGCGCCACCTTGACCTGAAGGCGGCTTCGATCGAGACGTTCCTCACGTTGCTGGCCCTCGAGACGCAGCGTCAGAAGGACGACGAGCTGGGTTTACGCGTGGCACTCCAACCTCTGAGCATGAGTCAATGTACACTGCAGCTGCTGGACACTCAAGCGAAGAAACTGGGACCGCAATCTACAGTAAGTCACTGCTCGGAGCGGTGCAGCGCAAGGAATTGCCTAATGCACGCGTGACACATCGTAAGGACGGGTATCTGAGCTCTTGGGTTATCGACTGCCACCTGCACGAAGTAGCTCAATGGTACGGACGGACGACTGGTGCCAACAGCAATGGAGACCAAGCTGCAGCCCTGTTAGCAGCTTCCGACGCTCAGCAGGCGGGTGAAACCAATGCTGCTGCGGTCGCTGCCGCCACGAATGAGCGTCGGCTGCTACAAGAATTGCGAGCGGCTCAACAGACTGGTCAGATCCAGCGCTTTTCGCTGTCACAGCCCGCATTCCAGCTGCAGTTGAGCTGGAGGGCTGAACTGACCGACGAGATGAAGAGTGAAGTCGTGGACCGATGGACGAAGCTGTTGTATGCGAAGCACGGGCATCTCGAGTCGCGCCAGCTTGCTCGTCTCGCTCATTTGTATGGAGCGCTGTACGCGGCAGCTCTACCGGCGCCTTCTCCGACGTCAACCGCGCGTGATGGCGAAGATGAAGAAGACGAAGAAGATCTGGATGATAAGGCCCATGCTCTCGAGACCAAACCGGTACGTTACTTCGAAGACGACGACGATAAGGATGATGCTGCAGCCGGTGGAGACGACGTCGAAGGTGACGAGGATGAGCGTTTGCTGCAGAAAATGCTGCGGCCGCTGACCGAGTCTCTGATCGAGGCTATCGAGCGAGGTACACGCTCACTCATTCAACTCCGTCTTGGCGGTGGAGGTCCGCTTGAGGGCAGTGATACTGAAGAGAGCACGAGCAACGATGAAGGTATCAAATGGACGAGTTACGCTGTGGCCAAGGTATTTCACGGATTGACGACGCCGCAGCTTCCAACTCGGCAGTGGCGCGACCACGTCTGCTGGCGACGGTACTCTGACCTGGCATTCGAGCGCATCGTGCAGATTGCACACAAGGTGATCCTGGAGGAGGAGGCTTTGGAATCGACTGTAAAGTCGGCGAGTGTGGGCATGTCGACAACTTAATGGTACTATGGCCTGTTAGATTACTTCTCTCCTACTTCATAGTTTCGCCAAGCTGGGGAACGATGGCGGCCACTTCCTTCGATGGCCTGGAACTCCAGCCGTTCCCAACCGTGGCGCTGTGCGTGGTAATTCACACAAACTCACTTCCTAATTCACTGACTAGCTTACGAGTATTTTGCACGCAGAGTCTTGCAGACGCGACTCAAGCGCAGGTCGGGAAGTGCTGGACTGGAAGTTGCTGGTGTGATCGGTGGCGACTTAGGAGCTGCTCTGCTCTGTGAGTCGCTGGCTCGGGCGCCTTCTGTGTGCTAACTGGGCAGGTGGCGCTCAAGGTTGCATTAGATTTGACTGCGTTGTGGATGCCTGCGATCTCGATGCGTCTCGCCCACGTCTCAGTCGGTGAGTGCCGTGCGCTTTCCAGCATGGCGAAGTGACTGCCGCTGTGGTACAGTTTGCGCTCGTGTGTTTCGCTTTCGAGCATAGCGCTCCATGTCTTCTTGAGCATCTGCATCTCCTCGTCGTCGTCCGAGTCGTCCGCGTAAATCTCCGCGCGCTCTTCCTGGCGGCCGAACTCGCGGTAGAATCGCCGCGTGAAGTCGAAGTTGTTGAAGCGCTGAGTCTCGTCGTCACTGCCGCCTGCGTCCTCCTCGCTGCTGGAGCTGAGGTGATATCTGCTGGTGCAGGACTGATACTTGTGGTCCGTCACCGTCATCGCGAAGGCTGGAGTTGGTACCAACGGGTAGTGGTGGAATCCCGGAGTCAGCGAAGCAGCAGCCGACGTCCTAACTCGCACCGCGGAAGGCATCGCCAGACGCCGACGTCCGACCGCTTCGCCTTCGTGTTCAAGCAGTTCCCGCCGCGAAAACTGCTTGGCTCACGCTCCAAGCGCGTGATTGAGGCGCGATCTCTGGCGCTCAACCGCTTCTTGCAGCATGCTCTGGAGGTCGTCGAAGTCGTTCGCCAGCGCCAACTCATCGCCATTTGCTTCAGCATGATGACCCACATCGAGACGTTCCTCGAGTTTGGAAGCCACCGCGTTGCAGCCCCGCGCGTCGCTCCGTCACGAAGTGTGGACTGCAACAACGTCAAACCTGCTCGACGAGGAGCGATGTCACCCGGCGCAGCTAGGGATACTGGTACAAGTGCTGACACTGGAGCTAGCGCTGGCACTCAAGCTGACGTTGGACCTGGTGTTGAAGCTGCTCTCGATGTTGTCCATGTCCGGGCTGGTGAGGTACGTGGCCATCTCGTCGTCGATGAGTGCGAGGAGCTTCTCGCGCAGCTCGCAGAACTCGGAGAAGCAGCGACGGATGTGCCGGCTCCTCTGCGTCTTGGTGTCTTCAACCCGCTAGATGTAGACCGTGAACGCCTTGAGCGCCAAGGCCGACGTGATGGTCGCTGTCAATGAGCTCATGGAGCCATTCATGGTGGTCCTGCCTGTGTGGTACGAGGCGATTGCAAGAGTGCCGACTGGTGATCGCTTGATCCCCCCGTTTCAGCCCCCAACTAGACGAAGGCGTTGGCGCTGCGGTTTCGTGTGGTCCGTGTCTCGCTCGCCTTTCAGCTCTACCCGAAACCAGTTACGCGCGTTTGCTCGCTTGATTCGCAGTCTCAGAACCTGATGCTTCTTCACACGAGCCTCGGGATGGGGGTCAAATTGTCTGCCGGGTAGCGACGAGGCACGCAGAATGGAAAGTGGTGACCGCGAGTTGAACACTTTCGGCGACGGCAGGTGGATAGATAGACTTCGAGGGCTCAGGTGGGGCCCTCTCACGGGCCGGACGCCGACTGCACTGGAAGGAGCACGCCGGCATCCCTGGAAACAAACCGAGTGGCCCACGGCTCGTATCTCTAGCGCCGCCGCCGCATTTGACAGCACCAAGATGTTAGCTAACTGCGGGCGTCTGTGGATCACCGAGCTCACGGTCGTCGGGGATCAAGATGCAAAGTTTACTGCGCCGCAGCAATGGTAAACTTTGAAAGGGCGCCCTCTTGAGCATTGCACAACCGGCGCGCATTTGAGCCTTTCACTCGTGCGCATGATCACAAGTCCAGCGTAACGGCAGCAATTATTGAGCAGAGTGAGCTGTGACCAGTGCTGCTCGCCCGAAGGCAATGTTTTGACATCGAGAGCACATGGTACTCTTCCAAGCAGGAAAAGGTGGTGCGGGTCAGGCCAGGCGTTCGTCGTTAGCGAGGTGGGGCCGAATTGAAGTGCGACTATGATCCAACCACTGTCACTGCGAGCGAGAGGAGCAACTAACGTTAGGACAGGCCCGAGCTTCCGTTGGGTTTTGGCGGTGCAGAGAGCAATTGTTCCTCGACGCGAAAATTGACCCCGGGAGGGATTGAATCTCGCATTGTTCTCGCTAGCCACGCGCGTCTCGGTCCAGTCGTCGTGGTCGATTGCAAGGCTCGCCTCGGTGGAGGTGAAGCTTCGGTGAACGCGCTTCCTTCTGTCGATTCAACAAGGATTTGGCACGAAATCCGGTTTGATCCACTCCTTCTACGAGCCCGAGCCCGTCAACTTCAAAAGTGGGCTCCCCCTAATACGAGAGCCAAAAGTCGCACAAAATGGGCTCCCTCATGGTAAGTACGAGATCAAGGAATTGGCTCCCCTCCAGGGCTCCCCAATACCTAGTATAGCCCTTGCGGATTGCGTTGGTAGTTCCTTGTAGCTACAATAGCGGAGTACAGTTGCTCTATATGCTATTATTAGTTGACCGTGTTCGCTACGAGCGTGTCGTTAATAAACTACTGTGCTTGGAAGCTCGATCCTGGGTCTGTATGACCCGACCTCGGCCGAAATACCGCAGCAACCAAAACGTGTGTCAGTACGTGTATGATGAGACATGACGCGACGTGACGCCCACGACCACTACACCTATTGACAAACGTTTTCCCAACGCATACACCTTTTGACGTTTTCCCCTAGAAGATCGAGCTCAAAGATCACCACACTAGAAGATCTCGCGCCGCTCATATGTGTACAGCCGCTCCGAGGCCTCCCCAGCGTCGCCGATCGTCCTTCCTTCCCCTCAAGGAGAAGCCCTTTTTCCTATGCCTTTTCAGGTTAGAACCTGGAGATACTTCAATGACGGCCAATCATCAGTGAGATATTTAACACAGGTGAGGGGGGAGGGCTCACAGTTCTGGAGGGCTCCTTTCACTTAACCTATTGAACTCAAGAGCCCAGGAGCCCGAGCTCGTAACTTTTTGGGTTCACCCAAGAGCCCAGGAGCCCGGCTCTCCCCAGGGCTCGTAGAAGGTGTGGTTTGATCGTAGTGCCAACGCGTTTTGGCCTGCGATCTGACCACCGCTGACTCTCGTAAGTTTCGATGGAACACGTACTCCTTCTGCTTTAGGCTGTCGGGCGAGAGCCCAACGCTGTTGCAAGCGGGGGTGGGGACATGCATGCACTGTGCATGGTACTCAGCGCAACTTTCATGACGTGGTTTCATGGCAAATCCATTCACAAAATGAACGGGGCCGGGCTGCATCCACCGTTCAAGCACAGCGCTCATAGCAGGAGAGTATCAACTTGATACTGTCCTGCTCGCTGGAGATAAGCTCAGCTCGCGATCAAGTCCTCGCCTATGGTGTGGACGTATCATACGTAAGATGTACACACAACACGCGTCTATCAAGTTGTGTTTGTGGCGAGCAGAAGATGGCGAACGGGTGAAGGGCTCACTAGAATATCATGCGCCCAAGCGCCCTTCCACCACCCTCTAGTTGCACACATTGTTTCGTTTATCAACATGAAACCGAGAAAATGGAGCCCTTGGCTCTCCTGCTGGTTGTAGCGAAGAGCTTTCTCACCAGTTGAGGCTTCTGGGATTTCTCACTTTGCAAACGGGCCGCTCACAATTGAACTCAACCTTCGTACAGTTTGTAGCTACGTTGTACATGAGATGAGAGAGCTACAGTCCTGATTCAGCCGTAGGGTTAGAAGTTACCACTGGTAACGGCGTATCATGATATCGAAGTCAGGGGGGCTCGGTGTAGGGATTGCTAGCAGTGCTAGCCTAGCACATCTTCACTAAATTCCGCCAGGCACGTTTGCTGCTCAATTCTCTGAAAGCTTTTCAGCGGCGCAATAGCTGAAGTCGATGATGATTGCTGTTCACGATGCTGAGGGTGGCAACTGCAGTGTATTCAATCCTGTGGCGATCTGTCTCTCCGAACGACGATTGATGTTTAAAACACGAACTCCCTTCAAGAGGCCCCATGTAATGCAACAAAATGAAGTTGACGGGCACGAATCTGCCAGGTCGAGAAGAGAAGGAGAAGCACGAGATGGAGAGACAGATCGTTAAGCTCTTCTGTGGGATCGTAGGTGCGCGCGGTTCGTTCCCGATCGAAAATAACGAGATCAAGAAGGCGAGGCCGAACGCGTGCAGGAACACCGACGCCGACCAACTGCGGCTTTTTGTACCCAAGGAGGGCGGTGAATGGCTTACGGAAGCCCAACTTATGGAGGGTCTGGATGCAGATGTAACCAGCCGCATGAAGGAACAACGCTTTGCGCAGGAGCCCATCGGCGCGATCGTCGCATCAAGACAACGCAGCAGGCTCACTTCTCGTAGAAAGACGTTGGAGAAAGTTAAGGGCCCGTAGATATGCTGGTGGTTCTGGAGAGAGCAACTGGTGGGACGATCGGTTCGGTGGAAAAGTGTAAGAGAAAGCTCCATACGTGGTTCCGCGATGGCCTTGATGTACGCGACAAGAAGACGTCCGATCTGAATCCCGGGAGTGATTGAATTGTCCATTTAGATCAAGCGGTGAATCCGAAGTACGCACTCGAGACACCAGATCTCCTTTCGGCGTATAATACAGCGGTCTTTCACTTACCAAACAAATTGTGGTGTGGTAATTCCACTAAAATCCTCCTCTACCAAAATGTATTAGAGACACCAACAACACGCTAACCCGCAAAGGTAAGCGCTTATTGGATCAAAACCGGAAGACCAGGAACGATCCCTTACACCGGGTCGGTTGCAAGCGCCTCTGTGCACCTTAGGTTGTCTTCGGTCAACCCAAAAACCTGTACCACTAGTCACGAGCTAAGGCTAGGATACTACGCAGCGCTTCCGCGCAACCCCACCGCAGTCCCTCAGAAAGGAAGGGTACCGGCGTGTTAGGCCTTATACAGGGGGACCAAGGTAAAACCTCGGTAGGTAGACTAATACACTCAGGGATACTCTAATCCCACAAATATATACCGAACGATACTCTAATACCGTTCCTGCCTCTCCGGCTACGTCAACTCTTGGCGCTGCCAAGGAAACTCTCGGTCAATGCACGATAAGCTCCCCGACAGGCATCCACACGCAGCCGAGCGTGTCCAGGCACTACAATAAGCTAGCTACACTTGCTGAAGTCGGACTTGACCCTTGTTGGCTTTGGGGGAAGACTGTCTTTTTATTACTGTGTTTTCTGAGGCCCTGGTGCCTCGTTCTGGTCATCCTATGATGAGTCCTATGTCCCTATACAAATATCTAGTGTGAACGATCGCAATAAGGCGATTCCGGACACATCAAATGACGACCGCGGCTACACTAATAAGTGCGGCCGAAGTACGTAACTAAATGCATCTGTACCTAAAAGTGGGTACCGTGAAGCCGCGTTCGGGGTTCTATTAGGACCCGACGAGGCTTCAGCCACTGACTGTCACTCCACCGAGGATAATGTCGTCATCCAATCAGAAGCAGTCATCTCCGTCTCTCGCTTGACCTCGCCTTGATTGCCCCTTGATTGAACTTGATTGTCGGGCTGGCGTGTCAACAGCGTTGGAAACTGCCACTTTCCAATACCACAACTACCCCCGCCTCGACGCGAGCCTCCCACGCTGGTGAGCGTCTAGGCGTCCTCAGTTCTTCGACTCCATGGCTCCTCCGTCGCGTGCATTCGCCGACGCGGCTGCCGCTGCTCTTTGGGCTCTCCAGTGCTCCGGACGTACGTTTGTCGCTCCTGCCGCTCCTCACTGTAATTCGGATCCTCGTTGTTGACTCCATCCCTTTCTTGATCATCTCAGGGAGCTGTTGATGTCGCCACCGACACCTCGGGTCGTCGTCCGGCGCGCCAGGCTCGTTCGGCGGGTGCCCCCGCCCCTATTGCCGCTGGTGCTGTGCCTCCAGCCCCGGCCGCGCCTGCCGGTGACCCTACGCTCATTCCTGCCGCCTCCAGGACCTCGGTCGACACTCCACCGGCTCCTCCAGGTAGTCCTGAGTCTGCCGCTGGGGGGACCGAGACTCCCTCGCCGGAAGTTCCCATGGAAGAGGCTCCCGACTCGCCGCCGACACCGCCGCCAAGCCCCAGCACTCCACCGTCGCCAACTCCCGCGCCTTCGGTCACGTTGGCAACTCGCGGGGCGTCGGTGGGGGCGAGGCAGCTGTAGGAGGTCGCGCCGGAGCTGGTGCTTATCCGGCCGAGGTTCCTCCGACAGCGGTTGTCTTGGGCGAGCAGCAGATGCTGGAGCTCGCTCGTCTCGTCGTGGGCGTTGCCCGTTTACCTCCAGCTCGAGTCAACGCTGTTCTCGACCGCAGCCTGCAAGCCGCCACTAACGTCGGTGAGGTGTTGGCTGCTGCCGTTGCTCCTCCGCGTCTCCCTCTTGCAGAGGCTGATGAACTGGTGGCCCTCCGTCGCGAGAACGACCGGCTGCAGGCTGAGCTCTCCGACACCAAAGATAAACTCGCTGAAGAGATGAATCTTCGGACCAAGTTGGACTACTTCCTCATCTCGGCCAACTCCGAGTGCGACCAAGCTCTGTACCTCGTCCAGGATATGCGCGTCCAGCTCAGCAACGCCAGCGCTCAGTTGATGCAAGCGAACGGGGTCATCGCCCACCACGCTGATGTCACTCAGTCGTTGGAGAAGCGGACGCTCGTTGCTGAGGCCGATTCGGCCGCTGCTGTACGTCGGAACACCCAGCTCCACGAGCGTATAAGTGCAAGCCTCGTTACCTACAACACTCAGTTGGAGAGGCTTCGGAAGCAGTTGGCCCACCGCGACCGAGCGAACGTCATCCCCGCACGCATTCAAGCGTTGACGGACGAGAACAACAGCTTGCGGCGAGCGAATTCTATCCTTCGTCGGCACTCGGCAGCACACGGTCTCGACGTCGACACCTTGGTCTGGCCTCAGCCGGCATCACCGCCGCAGAGATCGATTGGAATTTTCTCGGGCTGTCCCCACCGACGGTCACTGTCGAGAGTCCATGCCATGACTAATCCTCGTCAGAGTTGGGAGAGGAGTCCAAGACAACCGACGTGCCGATGACTGAGTCTACCGAGGCTACGTCCGCTCCCGCTGCTTCGGTGGGCACTTCTGCTGGTTCCCCGGTCTCCACTGAGTCGTCATCGCGCAAGCGGGGTCGGCAAACCGAGTCTGCTTCCGTCGGGAATACGGCATCCCAGCCTCCTCCTCACAAACCCTTCGGCAGACCGTGAGTCGACCTGAGGGCCAGGGCTGCAGCGGCCGCCGCGCCATCTAGTCCTCGTTCGGCATCAGGAGAGATTTCTCCGCCTCCTCAGTCGATGGTGCGTCCTTCAACGACGGCTCGCTCAAGCTGGTTGGAGTCTCAGCCCCTCCCGTACGAACACTCAGACGTCCCCTTGTATCCTCGGCTGGCTAGTCGCTCCTCGCTTCTCTCGCCGACCCCAGCCCAACAGTAGGAATCGTCTGACGTGGAGTTTGGAGGGGGTATGAGTCCTAGTGATGCTCCACAAGATGACCTTGAGCCTGGCGAGATTCCGGAGATGTCGGCCGATGCTCAGGGTGTTCAAGGTCCTATTACGGAGCCTTCCGGTACCGTCATCGAGGTTCCATCCGAGATTTCGCCTTCGGCGGCGACTTCTATTCCTCCGCCGGTCTCGTCTGGTACAGCCGGCGCTGGCCGTGCCCCTCGAGAATCGGCGGCTGGGGTCACCAAGGGCTTTGGCGGCTCACCAGACCGTTAACCTAACGGTGAGTCGCCTAATGAGTCCGAGACCTCCGAGGACCGTGACGCGTTGTTCCTGGAGATGTTCGGCCCCGACAAAAGAGAGGCAATCTCGGTGGCGCAACCTGTCGCTCCTTCGGAGGCTCCTTCTCCTCTGGCTGCTGAGACCGGGGTTCCTGTAGCTTCACAAGCGGCCACCGTGTCACCCCCGAGTCGACTCCACACTCGGTCGGCCTCTGTTCACGCTCGGTCGATGGTAACAGCAACGGTGACAGCTTCACCGAGGGATGGACCTGCCTCGATTGCTCCAGCCGTGGTTGACGCTTCTGACGTAGCTCCTGGATCACGTAAGCTCAGTGGGCTTGCCACCCTGTTCCTGGAGCCGGGTTTCACGGCACCCGGGGCGTTGGAGTGCTGACATCTTATCCAAAACGCCAGTGTCCCCCTCGTCTTCGAGGACGACTTGGTCGCCCCCAGTTCAGTGGATGAAATCGTGGAGTTTGGCTTGGGGACGGATCCCGCTCACCCCTTCCAAGTGTTGCGCCAGCTTTTCCCAGATGAGTCTTGTTTGATCAACACGACGGGTTTCCCATCCTCGGTGGCTATATCCCGTCGTGCAACTGGTCGAGCTCTACTCGTTCGCCTATGGCGGCAGTTCCGGGGTACTCCTACCACTCCACCGAGAAGGGCGACCTTGGTTTCGCCTTGTGGGAGCGACGCCACTGGATTAGGGGTAAAGCCGTCAAGGCGTATATCGATAACCTCGCCAGAATCCTCGGTCAGCGCAACGTGCAAGTCCTAGCGCTTCGACAAGCGTGGTCCAAGTACCACCGAGAGCGCAGTTATCGTGCAGATCGCTTGCGAGACCAGATGCTCCACAGGATGTGGAATGGGACCATTACGTACGACGGACAACCTCCACAGCACCGCACCGAGGTTTTGCTGGAGCCGTCGTACTTGCAATACTCGTTCGAGGTGATGGAGTGGGTCCCCACTACCGACGACTGGGCCCCCGAGGTGGCGGACGTGGACGCCCGCGAGCCGTGGCGTAACTGTTGGTTCCAAGCGCCGGCCGACCACCCCTACAACACGGCTTTCGCCCCTTGCAACGACGTCCCGTTGTTCGTCCCCAACGGATCGACTGGGGAGACCATGGCGTCGTCGGTCGTGGTTGAATCTTCTCTGCGGACTTCGATGGTGGTCGCTCCATGGGTGGCCGAGTTCGCAAACGCCCGTCGTTCTTGCTCTCCAAGCCCCGATGAGGAGACGAAGGAGTCGGGTGAAGATTTGGCCTCGTTAGACCCCGCTTCAGCTTCACCGTTTCGTACACGTTCTTTTCCAATGTCGACCGAGGTTCGTGGCGCCTTAGGCGACACTGCATGTGCTATCCCAATCCAAAATAATGTCATGTTGTTTGTTCCATTTCGTCACTCCTGCTCGCGTTAACATTCTCCACCTCCAATGCCCGGTCGCGGCTCCCAGAGTCTCATCTCGGTCCTTGAGCGCTGTGGCTGCGCCTAACGATCGGTTCGTAGCCATGACACTCCCCCGTTCTCTGACCACTTCGTCGTTAGCTTAATACTCACCCGTCAGCTTGGGAAGCACAATCGGATCCCTTCCGTATGAAGCGCTGCTTACGAAGTTTGGGTTGCCCTCTCATTAGCTTAATCGTCACTTCCTTCTCCTGCAGGGGTTCCGACCAAGGCCCCATTTCGTCTTCTATCGTCTTTAGCTCCATTTCAAAATCTCCATCCATCATAGGTCCATATATAAGCGTAAGTCGACGTCTGACGCACCGGTGCACACCCCTTTACCGCTCAATAACGGCGTTCGAAACCTCGGTCACCCCTCCTTCAGCTTCGCCATCACTCGTTTCATCTACTATGGGGTTCACCGAGGTTTGTTCGCGTCTTCAGCTACCCCCACGTCTCCGTTTTGTCTTGTTTCGTTCACATTACATGCAGCATGCAAATTCCAGTAGCATTCTTCGTCTGTCCTTGCGAGCTGGATAGCCCTCGCAGGCAGGTCAATAGTCGTCTCCAGTAGCCTCGTTCGTCTGACATCGCGGGCTGGATTCCCCCCGCGAGCAGTTCAATCCTCGTTGAGGCGCAGAATTACTCCTCGTCGGCCACTTGGACCATTTGCAAACGTCGGTCGCTTCGTTTCCGGCGCAGGTAATCGTACAGGAGGCCACCGCACGACAGATTGGACGCTGGTTCCCATGTCGGCTCGTCATAGCCGACCCACTTCACCTTGAACTCTCGGACGGCCCGGTGAGTGCTCGTTGACAACGGTGTCCGGTCATCGAGGATAGCCTCGACTTCATACTCACCGTCCAGGTGGTCCGGCTCAAAACTGTCTTCAGGCAGTAGTTCCTCGTCGAAGTCAAGACGAGTGTCTTCGGTGACCCCACGAGCCAAACGAACCCTCGGTCGGCCTTCGAATTCGTCCACTGACTTGAGTCGTGAAACATGCACCACCGGGTAGAACTGGTATCCACTTCGGTCGGGTAGGTCCAACTCATACGCAAACTCTTCGACCTTCTTCTTCACGCGGAACGGTCCGTGCCACCGATGGGCTCAGTCCTGGTCGAACCCGCTCCATGTACAGCCACACTCTGCTCCCAGGCTGCAAAGCAAGCCTCGTTCTCGTCACTGTAGCTCCACCATGGTCAGGGGAATTCGATGCTCGGTCGACCGAGGTTCTATTCTCGCCGACGCCTGCCGTAGCTCCTTCTCCTTCCTTCCAAGTGATGCATTGTGCTCTTCAGCTCTCCGAGCCTTTTCCGCGGCTTGGTACTCCTTGGTCATCCTCAGGGCGATTTCCTGCTGTCGGTTGACCTCTCGGCGCCATGCTAGCGCGTCAGTTTGGCTACCGAAACCTCGTTTGAGCGACGCGGACATTGCCTTGAGCGTCGACTGTGCATCCCACCCATGAACGAGGTAAAACGGAGTTTCCTTCCTCGTCGTATCACGGGAGTTATTGATGGCGAAGATCAGTCTTTCGGCGATCTCGTCCCAATCCTGCTGCAATGGGTCTTCAGCGTATACGCGGACTGACTGCATGATCGTCTTCACCGATCTCTCCTGCTGACCGTTGGCCTGCGGTCGGTAGCTCAGGGTCGCTCTCGACCGAGACTGCATCATTGCTGCGAAGGCTCATAAATCGAGGATCTCGGTCATGACGGATCAAGGACGGTGCCCCAAAACGTTGGTAGACACACTCCTCGAAAGCTTGCGCAACGCGTAAGGCGGTAGTGTCAGACATGGCTTTGCCCATCACGAATCCCGTGAACGAGCATTGGAACAGCAGGAGAGCCGTGTTGCCACGGCGACTCTTCGGTAGCGGTATCACGAAATCCATAGAGACTAGTTGGAAGGGCCTCTCGGCTAGGATGTTCCCTGGCGAGTACCCGCGGAACTGGGGTCGGCTCTTACTTGAACTGCAGTCAGGGCACGACTTAACGTGTTTCTCCACATCGGCATACTGCCCGATCCAGTAATAGTCTCTCGCTGCTCGATGTAGCGTACGAGTAATATCTTGGTGACCGTCTTCGAGTGAGTCATGACAGCTTTGCAGGACCTCTTGGATCATCGTTGTGGGTACCACGAGTCTCATCTTCAACTCGGCTTGCTCGTCGTCAGTTGAACGACGGCTCGTTCTAGTGTAATATAGCACATCGTCCTCGCTCAACACACATTGGTCCGCCATTTTCCATGCATCTCGTGCTGCTCTGTATCCAATCTTTGCATCGTCTCCTCGTAGCACTGCCTTCCGATTCGACCACCGTAACTCTTCATCTTGAGCGGTGGCGATTCTCCTTCGGCGTTCTCCTTGTACTACCAGCGGGTCAATGTCTTCTGCGTACGGTGGGGCTGGTGACGTCTCGGCACGCAGCGGTGAAGCTTCTGCTTCATTCTGAGACTCGTTCGGCACACCATTGGCTTCTACTCGGTGAGATGCATCTCCCTGATCGGTGACCGAGACTTCATCTGCAAACCGGGCGTGTTTCGCCTTTGCTCTCGCGTGCCGTCTGGTCATCACAGCCACATGTCCGGGTTCAGTCTCGTTCTGCCGTCTGTGGTCGGTTTCTCTTCGCACAAAATCGAAAAAATTCTTGCTACGAGGTTTGGCAGAAGCTACCACAGCCCATACTGTGTTGGCCGAGGGTATGTCCTCGACGACGCATCCGTCAGCAACCTCGTAGATGACTTCAGCGATACGGTTCAGCTTCATCAGCTCTAATACTCGGTCGTCCGACGATACCACCGTAGACTTCTTGCACTCGAGAGTCTCGCTTTCCAGAGAGTCGGCCGCAGCGTTAAACTCTCTCACCACATGCAGGTACTTCACCGACCGCAGTTTGGCCGTGATTTCTTGTGGTGAATGAGTTGTTGCAGCAATGACTCCTTCCGGCAGGCTACCACCCCTAGGGCTTGCTGGATCGCGAGCCTCGAATCGCCAACGACGACTAGATCGTCGGCTCCATGCTGTAATGCAGCAGAGACGCCGTTGTTCATTTCGGTGTACTCAGCGAGGTTGACCGTGGTGTTCTCGAGGTAAGCGCTCGCGGCAAGCACTACAGTCGACTCTGGTAGCTTCCATAGTATCCACGAGCAACTGCCATATCCACCATTCTTCTTGGTCTTCGCAGACCCGTCAAACGACATAACGAAGCCTCGATAGGACTGCGGTAGGCGTGCGTAGAGCAGATGCGGGTCCAAACGAGCAGTCGGTGGCCCTCGCGTCCGGGTGTTACCAACGCCAGTGACTTATCCAAATCAACGAAATTCGTCAGGCCGGCTTGGAGTAGCTGGGCGAACGAACAGTCGGTTTCTTTGACTCGTTCGACCAATAGGTGCCACGGTGACAGCAAGACGGCGAACTGGGGAGCCCGACCGAACAATGTCTTGGACTTGTGGACCCAGTCGAGTGTCGAAAACCGAGTGCAGACCCGGACTCGCTGTCCAACGAGTTGAGTATAACACACCTTCAGTATCAGCAGAAGCGCGAGGACCTCTTTCTCGGCCGGGTGATAATTCATCTCAGCATCCTTCAAAACACGTCCGCAGAAGCGAACGGGGTGTAGTTTGCCCTCGTGCTCTTGTATCAACGTGGAACTTAGAGCCCACTCGTTGGCAAACAGCATAACATGTACGTCCTTCTTCCGGTCAAAATGTCGTAGTATCGGCGCTGCCGAGATCCTCTGTTGGAGCATCGCAAAGCTGTGCTTGGCCGCGGTGAGGTCACCCCCGGCTGGAAGTCCTCGTCCTTAAGCTGGTACAGCGCTGCTCCATAGACCGCGACGTCTTGGATGAAGCGACTGTAATAGTTGAGTGCCCCAAGGAAGTACTGCATTCCTTTCCTCTTTGACGGGAACGGAAGCTCGGTCACCCCAGCCAGCTTCTTAGTGTCCGGTCGGATACCTTTTGCCGAGACTTTGTGGGACAGGAAGTCTACTTTGGACTGCACGAAGATGCTCTTCGTGATGCTGATACTAATACGGTACTCTTCGAACCGTGCCAGCAATCGGTCTAGCGTCGCCAAGCACGACTCGAAAGTCTCGGCACCGAAACAGATATCATCCACGAAGGACCGGCGTCTGAATACTTGTGTCAACGAGGATTCATCGGGCTCCCCGTTGGCGAACATGTCGGCGATAGGGCTGTTGACTAGTTCGGCTACAGCTTCCTTACCAAGCGAGTTATCTCGGTCGGCCTCGAACTTGGTCCGGAATGGTTTTGGCGCGCCAGTCGAAGCCTCGTTCACCCCAGCATGAGCTTCCTTGTCATGTTCTTCAGCTAGACGTATGCGCTCCGAGAATTTAAACCATCCTCCCTTCGGTTGGACGAAGCCCCAAAGCGCGTTGTCAATCATGCGTTGATAGATCATCGGTGCGTTCTTCAGGCCGAAAGGCATACGCAACCACTCGAAGTGCCCTAGTGCGCAGACGAAAGCAGAGATCTTCCGAGCTCGTTCGGTCATCATAATGGCCCAGAAGCCGCTAGCGGCGTTGAGCGAGCAAAACCACAAGTACGCCTCCATGTCCTGTAGCGCGTACTCCATAATCTCGGTGATCGCATTAACGAGCTTGTAGTCGATACACAGGCGGATATCCACCCCATTCTTCTTCAGGACGATGACGATTGGCGACGCCCATGGGCTGTCCGAGAAGGAGATAAGCCCGGCCTTCAGCAGACCCTTCAGCAATTCGTACAGCTTACCGAGGAAGCGAAGCGGGATCCGCCGAGCCTTCTGTTTGATCGGCACGTGCCCCTGTACATTGATGTCACATACAACACCATAGGCTGGAGGCGGCAGAGCGTTGCCACTCGGAATCATGATCTTCTCGTGGCTCTTCAGCACATC